GTAGTAGCCATGTTCCGGCACTCGCACTCGCGCAAGACCGATGATTGCTTGTACGTCTCCTTCATGTACACATTCTCTGGGAGAGAATCTTGAGATAGCTTCGCCGCCACTTTCTCCAGCGACGCAAATCTAAGAGATGCCAGCGCGTGCGGAGTGCAATTGCCAGCTTGACGAAGCTTGATATCAGCTGGCAACTTGGAGGGGCTGGTCGTTGTTGCTACTGCTGCCAGCATCTCCAGAACATGCAAATGCTTCTTCTCTCGGATCTTAACAGAAAACCCGGTCGTCTCCAAGATGCGTTTCTCACTTCGCTCACAAATCTGCGCAGTGCAGTTTCTGAAATCCTGACTCCGTCAAAGTGAAGTGATAGATGCGCTGGAGTGTGGGTGGCCAACAGGACTGTGCACCGCTTTGTGAGCGCACAGTCTTCAAGCCATGTGCGCCACAACTACACCCTGTAACACCGGGCGGCGCGAAGCTTTACAAGGCCTACAAATATTATGATGTAGGCTTCAAATCAATCTAAATATCTTTTAACGCCTCCGGCTCGGCCGCCGACATTACAGGCCTGCTTTCTTATTTTCTGGGCCTGCGGCCTCTAGCCAGCTACGCCTCTTTGAAGTTAGACCATGTCATGTCATGGTTTTTGTATGAGAAACGTATCCTGTGCTATGTTATGCCTGGTTAGGTTTTGCGTGTTGCCCACCCCAACCCCAGATGATGCCGGGGATGCCAGCTTTCTGGGCCCCAGCCGGGCCCCAACCCAGAAGGCTGACATGGGGTCGCGCGCGCGCGCGCCAGAGGCCAAAAAGAACAGCCCGCAAACCAGCCCGGAAACGCAAACGCAACAAAACACCGCAAATAGCAGCGGTTTGTGGCTGGGGTCGCGCGCGCGCGCGCGCCAGAAGGCCCGAAAACCAACGAGAAAAAAGCAAGGACCGCGCAGCGCGCGAGCCAGCCACAGCAAGAACAAAACGGACAGAACAACAGCCCAACGCTCAGCGCAGCAGTTTTTGGCTGTATTTAAAGCGTTTTGGAGAGCGAGGGCCCGGCACGCCCGGCAGCGCTTGGCGCCAAAATGCGCAAAAATGAGCCTTGCGTATATCCCTCCGATACCTTCTAAAAAACAGTGCTTCATGGGTTGAAAGGCTTTTTGGAAGGAAGTCTTGATGATGCAGACCAAGCCCCGCTGAAGCATCACCCAGGCCCAACCCAGACCCTGATGATGTCAGCCGCATGGCCTAAACCCTGCATATACGCGATGTTTTGCGAGGGTTTCCCACAGGCAAGCAAAACCGCAAGCCCGAGCTGGTGATGCAGAGGTGCCGGATTTAGGCCGCGCATCACGACCGAGTGGCGAGGGTCGGCGGCACCAGGGTGCACTCCCTATAGCAAAAGCTAGGAGGCTAATTGCCTAGCAGCGACATGCTACCCCAGGAGGCGTAGCTGGATTTAAGGGCTGCCGCCCAGACCGAGCCATATTTTCACTCATCCAACGCGAACCTCGACATGGGGGGAATCAGTAGTAAAATAACCCGGGGGGCGAACACGCATGCGATGCTGGCCAGGCAAGGGAGATGAAACCATCATCAATTGTCGACAATAGTCTTGTTGGACTTTGCAACGATGGTGACGAGGACGATGACTGTGATGAATACGATGGCATTGATCACGATGGTGAAAAGGATGCTGAAGAAACCGATGATGTTGACATCAAATCGGCTGAGAATCATCATGACACATCTTCCGCATCAGACCCCCCCAACAAAAAGCAAGCCGGGCGGCCTCGACTACGCTTATGGTGGCCCTAACAACGCTTATGGCCACCATGATGATGATGGTGATGATTATGATTATGATGATGATGACATTGATGACGATGGTGACAAGGACGATGCCTGTGATGATACGATGAGATTGATTACGACATGATGAAGAAGCCGATGCTGTTGACATCAAATCGGCTGATAAGCATCATGGCGCATCCTCAGCATCACCAGCAGTCATGACGATAATCGCGTCCACGCATCTTTCGAAGGATGATCGCAGCATCCTTTGCATCACCAGTGCCGCTAATAAGAGATGATGATGATCATGATGATGACTGTGATGATAACTATCATGGTAGCATCCTTTGCATCACCAGTGCTGCCTAATAAGAGATGATGATGACCGTGATGATAGTGATGATAAAGATGAGGGCTGTGATGATAACTATCATCGTAGCATCCTCTGCATTGCCAATGCTGTCTAACGTTGCTTTTCAAATATATAAGAACTGGAAAGAGATGATGATGACCATCACGATCATGATGAGAAGAGTGATGATGATGATGACGACGACCATCATCATGATGATGATGAGGAAGATCATGATGATGACTGTGATGATAATTATCATGGTAGCATCCTTCTGGATCACCAGTGCTGCCTAATAAGAGATGATGATGACCGTGATGATCATGATGATAAGGCTGAGGACTGTGATGATAGCTATCATCGTAGCATCCTCGCCATCACCAGTGCCGGCTAGGACTGTGATGATAACTATCATTGTAGCATCCTCTGCATTGCCAATGCTGTCTAACGTTACGTTTGACAATGCATGTAAGAACAAGACAGAGATGATGATAGCCATTGTGATGACGATGAGAAGAGTGATGATGATGATGACGACCATCATGATCGTAGCATCCTTTGCATCGCCAGTGCTGGCTAATAAGAGATGATGATGACCTTGATGACAGTGATGATAATGATGCCAAGGATGAGGACAGTCACGATAACTATCATCGTAGCTTCCTCGGCGTCACCAGTGCCGGCTAATAAGAGATGACGATGACCATGATGATAACTGTGATGATAACTTTCATCGTAGCATCCTCTGCATTGGCAATGCTGTCTAACGTTACTTTTGAAATGCATAGGAACAAGAAAGAGATGATGATGACCATCATGATGATGATGAGAAGACTGATGATGATGATGATGATGCCGACCGTCATCATGATGATGGTAAGGATGATCATGATGATGACTGTGATGGTAACTTTCATCGTAGCGCTTTCCCTGTTGAGATCCTTTCCCCCCTTTCCCCCCCAAGGCCTTTCCCACCCTGAGATCTTCTCCTTTTTCCTCCCCAAGATCTTTTCCCCCCGGTTGAGGCCCCTTTGCCCCAAGGATCTTCTCCCTTTTCCTCCCTAGGATCTTTTCTCCCTTTCCTTGTTGAGATCCTTTCCCCCCCTTTCCCCCCTAAGGCCTTTTCAGATCTTCTCCCTTTTCCTCCCAAAAATCTTTTGCACCTTTTTTTTGGTTGAGATCCTTTCCCCCCTAAGGCCTTTCCCCCCTTGAGGTCTTAAGGCCTTTTCCCCCCTGAGATCTTCTCCCTTTTCCTCCCCAAGATCTTTCCCCCCTTTCCCCCCTAAGGCCTTTCCCCCCCCTGAGATCTTCTCCCTTTTCCTGCCTAAGATCCTTCCCCTCTTTTCCGGTTGAGATCCTTTCCCCCCTACGGCCTTTTCCCCGCAGATCTTCTCCCTTTCCTCCCTAAGATCTTTCCCCCCTTTCCCGCCTTTCCCTAAAACCTTTCCCCCTCTGAGATCTTCTCCCTTTTCCTCCCTAAGATCTTTTCCACCTTTTTTGGTTGAGATCCTTTCCCCCCTTTTCCCCCTCAAGATCTTTCCCTTCCCCCCCTTCCCCAGTTCCCCCTAGAATCTTTTTCCTCGAAGATCTTCATTTCCCTTCACTTTCCTTCACTTCGGCTCATGTGCCTTGATGTCTGTTTTTGCTCCCTTTCTTTCATTTCACTTCATGTCGTTCATTTCCATGCGTTTTCCTTCAATTCCTCACCAGCATGGGCAACATCCCCAGCATCACTTGCATCATCCGCATCCTCAGCAGGCGCTGATGCGGATGATGCAGTTCATGCTGGCGATGTTGCGCAGGAGGTGCTAAGGATACCAAAACGGACGTGGGGGGGAATCAAACACCCCAATGTTTTTACGCAACTGTGTTCCGCACAGCCCCCAGAAGAAAGGAAACCGTGCCCCTGGGGAGGGGTAAGGGGAGGGGTAACAGGTAAAGAGGTAAGGAGCATTTCTTATATCCATTGAACTTTGTAAACCCCGAGAACCACGGATCTGAGCCCGATTTGATTTTTTAGATATGGTGTTTAAAAATTCTAAGTATTTATATTGTGTAAAATTTAAATCGGCCCCCAGCTCCAGAAATCAGGGCCTAGTGATTTAAAATATTTGAAATATTTAAAATATTTAGGCCTCAAACCAGCTTAAATATTTGCATCATTTTAAATCGGGGCCTGGGGATATAACATACTGAAAATATTGAAAATATTTGGGCCTTAAACCAGCTTAAGTATTTGAAACAGTTTATAAACCGGGGCCCGGGGATGTAAAATATTTATGCTATTTATCAAATCAGCTTAAAAATAATTTCAATATTTTAAATCGGGGCTCAGGGGTTTAAACTAATTAAAATATTTAAAATGGCTAAAAAAATAAATCGGCCCCAGCTCCAGAAATCAGGGCCCCGGGATGTAACATATTTATAATAGTGAGAGTATCTAAAATACTTAGTCCCCAAATCAGTTTAAATATCTTAAATATTTTAAAATATTCAACATACTCAACATATTTAATTTTAAATCGGCCCCTGCTCTAGAAACCAGGGCTCTGGGATTTAACATATTGATTTAAACTATTCAAGATATTTAAGCAGTATCGGGCCCAACATTATGCTAAATATGCAGGCAAGGGCCCCGCGACACATCATACATACTCATCAAGATTCCCCAAGAAAACTGTTTGCGGATTTGCTTGCTGTTTGGATTCAGAGCGCAGCTCTTTGGCGCATCAGGGGAAAGAGAAAGAGAGAGAGACTCACTTTGCCCAGTCAGGGCACAAGCCCAAGGCGACCGGGAGGGGTACAGTGCACTGGGGGCCTGAGAGAAGGTTGGCTTGGCTCCGGATGCTCTCTGAATTGAGGCTTACGCAGCTGGGCAGTTTTCATGTCGCACATGACTGCCTTCGCCGCCAGCAATGCTGGGGCAGCTTGGCTAAACTGCTCGCTTTGGTTGGCTGCCTCTTGGCTGTTGCGTCACCCATAGGACCGTAGCGTACTACGCTGTTGAGCACAGTTTCGACACATTCTCTCTTGAATTGTCATTGCAATGACTTCGTTCAGTCCGTGACAGCTGTCAGCACCTTTCTTGTGTTCGGATGATTGAGCTCTGCAACTCTGAGCAGGTCAAGCTCTTGCACCTGCCGTTCTTCCGCGACAATGCGGCGTGCAGCCTGTGCCTTCACTTGAATTCAGCTCGCGAGGATGATTCTGTTGACAATGGAAGTCCTAGCGCTGGATTTTCTTTTGATTTCGTTGCAACTGTGGTATGATTCTTAGTTGCGTTTCAGAACTTGTGTGGCATCAGTCTGAAGCGGACATCAGAAGAGGATTCCTCCTCATGATTCATAATTCATACTTTCGGAGTGTGTTTCTTTTTGGGCAGACAGTTTGTGTGAGTAGCGGTGCTGGCGTGTTAGCCTGGCACTCATGTTGCCCAAATGTTTGTGTGCGCGCGCCTGCCTGCGTGCATGCATGCATAACTTCCTGCTGGAACACGCGCGTCAATTTCGCAACATCATTTCAATCACACCCTCCGCCCACTATATCTTGCAATGGCGATGCGTGCCATTTTGACCTTTGTTGCCTCTTGTTGGCTTTCTGGGTGTGGTCCTGCATTCACTGCAGTCTTCTGAGCGCCTTCAGGCTCGTATAGGCTAAGTGATGCGCCTTTTTCTCGTGCTTTTCGCAGCCTTTGTGTTCATTTTTCTTGTTTGCCCGTCTCCGTGCTCGATGATCTGATATGGGTGAGCAGCTCTACTCGCAGGGCCCCTTAGGGTGTCGGATCCTTTGATTTTCATGACGGCGCCCGCCCAGCCTGTCCCGACCTCCCGGCCCATATTGCATCCCCGGCGCACTGCCCCCTTGCAGTCACGCAGACGCCAAGAATCTCACGATCAAGCAATGAGAAGCGATCGCCAACGCCTCATTGGTACATCAAGCGCTAGGCGGGCCAGCCAGGATTTGCAGTTTTCGACGCGGTGATTGGCAGCCTCGGCACCGCCTCCTTACGAGCATCACGGCCGGCTGAAGAAGCTTGTGGAGTGGCATCGTGCCCCTCTCACACTTCTGTGTGTGTGTGGTCCATCACAACCACCAGCAACCTTTGCGCTTGTAGCGTTTGTTTGCCCGCCCGCCCACCGCAATGGCCGCTTGACTGGCTTGTGCCAGTGCCCATGCGCGCTGTGTTTATTTGGGGCTAGCCCGGTGTTCTGCTCGCCAGCGGTAAAAGGGGCGTGGCTACTTGCGCAGCGTCTGCTGGCTGTGGTGATGTCCAAATGCCTTCCATGATCCCCATCGAGCACGCGTTGCGCCAAATTGCTGCAAGAGTTGCCGACGCAGGCCTGCGTCCGCAGAGTTCTTAGGGCAACGCAAGCAGGGTCCTAAAAGTTGGGGAGTTCCAGGCTCATGTGTTCTACTTTTTTCTAACTCTTTAATATGTTAAATCGTTCATGCTCGTATCATTCTACCCATTCTAAGAGCTTTGTACTCCGAAAGGACCGGTGCTCCTTGTGGAACTCCAAACCTATGCTTCTAATTATTTGAATCATTCCATCTATGCTACTCACTAGTTCCGCCCACAGGGACAAGTGCCCTTTGGCGACTTCAAACTCATGTTCTGTATGTATGCTAAGTTTTAATTATCAAATTTCAATTGGACGGGTGCTTTCGGGGGAATTCCCGATAATAATGCGAGTTTTTGGGCAAGATTCACTTGTTGTTCTGCGTGTAGGGACGGGTGCCTCTTGGGTATTTTAGGCCCATCTTTGTTCCACTTATTCTAGTTGTTCTAAGTATTCGACTTGTTCCCAAAGGGACGGGTGCCGTCCAACATTAGTTGTTCTTCCAGATTCATTGTTTCTATTTGCTCGAGTTACTCTCCCAATGTGACGGGTTGGAGAAGCCCAGGTTAATTTTGTGATTTTGTCCAGATAGTAATCGTAGTTATTCTCAGTCTTCGCAATAATTGGAAACAAAGCACAGGGACCAAGTAAAGCCCTTTGCTGTTCTTTTTTCGAGCGTCCTTCTATTCTCAACGCGACGGAGTGCCTAAAAGTTGGGAAATTCCAGATGTATGTGTTCTAATATTTTAATAACTCTGTGATTTGTTAAATCATTCGGAATCATTTTACTTATTCTAAGAGCTAAGTGCTCCCAACGGGACGGGCGCCCTTCAGATGATTCCAGGTCCATGCTTACAACTCTTTGAACTACTCTATCAAATACTGTAGTCTCTTGTTCCCCATGAACTTCATTGGAAAAGGCTTAAAGGAGCCACCATATTTGTTTGATGATTTCAATAGCACTGTCACATTGTGTTGTTCAATGAGTTTAGCCGAACAAGATCCCAACATGATACAAAATTCATCTATTGTCCTGAATTTTTTGAGCTGGGAAACTGAACTGGTTCAACCTTTTTGTGCATGTGTTTTTGTGCATGTGCATGATCGACCCTTCTCGCCAGGCCCGCTTCCCTAGGAAATGGCGAGCAGCTTTTGGCCGCGCTCCGCGGCCGGCCGCGCTCCGTGTTAGGGCGATGCCATCGACAACGTTGTTGTCCTGAATTTAGTGTTTGCCAAACGGGGCCATCATTGGTTGACTAATTTTCTCAATGTCATGGACATCTTTTAATGAAGCAACCAATTTTATTGTGGAGTGTGCCCCAAGAAGCCACCGTTTGTGTTATTAAGTTTGTTAAAATTATTGAATTCGTGAAATTCACCAAAGCTTTATTTAAACAATCAATGAACTTAATCGATAAAGGCTTCAATCCAGATGAACTCAGAAAATCCAGGATTTTCAAGGATTTTCCATGATAAGGGCTTCGCATCGCAATGATTTTGCACAACAAAGGCGTGGTTGCACCTGCGCCTCCTTTTAGGCGCACCCGGGAGTTTCTTGGTTTTATGAAATTATTCAAAAAAGGCTCTAACATATATTAATCAATCTCATGAAGCTAATCGAGGAAGCCCCAAAGCGATTAAATTCATTAATTCATTAAAGTCCTGGACTTTGCCAAAAGGAGCCACCACTTGTTTAATTAAATTCATTAAAAAACGTGGACATATTTGAATGAGTTTAATGAGTTTACTTGTTTTGGGGCTTCTTCTTTTTTTCGATTAAATCCTTACATTCATGTAAATATGTTAATGAAGTTAATGGTTTTGATCGTTTTGAAGCCTTTTTCGATTCAATTCATCAAGTTCGTTCAAATATTCATCAAATTCATTTCATTATTTTAACGAATTTAACGAAGTTAATCGTTTTTGAGCCTTTTCGAGTACATTCATGAAATACATTTATTTGTTTAAATGAGTTTGAATGTAATCGTTTGGGGCTTTTGTCGATTACATTCGCTAAATTCGTTAAATTCATGAAATTCATTAAAAAAAGGCTCAAACAAAATGAATTTATTAAATTCATTAATATATTGTCACGAACTTCATGAATTTATTGGATGTAGTCTAAAAAGGCTCCGAGCGATTACATTCATTAAATTCATTTGAGTGCTTAAATGACGATCGTGAGTTTAATGAACTTAAAGCAACTCAACGACCGCTTCTAAATAGAGACTAGTACGCCTTCCATTACTATTACTATTACTACTAGCGCGTTGTTTCTTGAAATATTGTTACTCTTGCTATGTCTACTACTACTACTACTACTACTACTACTACTACTACTACTACTACTACTACTACTACTACTACTACCAGTAGAGCCGGCGAAGCCGGTGGGCGGAAGTTTCAAAAAACTATAGTTCCCTTTCTCTTTCCTCTCTTGACTTTGTTTTCTCTTCTTCTTCCTTTTCAGTGTGTCTTTTTTTCTTCGTCATTCTCTCTTTCTTTCTGTCCTGTCTTCGCCTCCCTTCTTTCCTTCTTTCTTTCTTTTTTTTCTTTATTTCTTTCTTTGTTTTCGTTCTTTCGTTCTTTCTTTGATTCTTTCTTTCTTTCTTTCTTTCTTTCTTTCTTTCTTTCTTTCTTTCTTTCTTTCTTTCTTTCTTTCTCTCTTTCTCTCTTTCTCTCTTTCTCTCTTTCTCTCTTTCTCTCTTTCTCTGTTGGTGGTTGGTGATGGTGGGTGGTGAGTGGTGGGTGGTGGGCGGTGGGTGGTGGGTGGTGGGTGGTGGTTGGTGGTTGGGGGGTGGTGGTTGGTGGTTGGTGGTTGGTGGGAGGTGGGTGGGGGGTGGTGGGTGGTGGGTGGGTGGTGGTTGGTGGTTGGTGGTTGGTGGGTGGTGGTTGGTGGTTACTAACTAACAAACAACAAACAAAACAAAACAAATACACTAACTAACTAACTAACTAACTATCTCAATCACTCTATCTATCTTTTATTTTCTCGATCTACTTATCTGTCTATCTATCGATCGATCTATCCATCTATCTATATGTCTAACCTATCTACCTCTCTATCTATCTAACCAACCTACCTACCTATCTATCTCTATTTTTATCTATCTATCTATCTATCCATCTATACATCTATCTGTCTATCTTTCTCTCTCTCTCTCTATCTATCTATCTATCTACCTATCTGTCTAGTTATCTATCTAATCTATCAATCTACTTACTTGTCTATCCATCTATCTGTCTTGTCTTCTGATCTACTTGTCGATGTGTGTATCCATCTATCCTCCTATCTCTCTCTCTCTCTCTCTCTCTCTCTCTCTCTCTCTCTCTCTCTCTGCTCTCCCTCTCTCTCTGTCTGTCTATCTGTCTTTTGATACGTATTGTCTATCTATCTATCTCTCTCTTTCTATTTATCTACCGATTTATCTATATCTCTATATCTCTGTCTCTCTGTCTCTCTATCTCTGTATCTCTCTATCTACTTATCTATCTGTCTATCTATCTGTCCGTCTATCTATCTATCTATCCATCTCTCTCTCTCTCTCTCTCTCTCTTTCTCTCTCTCTCTCTCTCTCTGTCTCTCTCTCCATCTAACTTATCTATCTATCTATCGATCCATCTATCTCTCTATTTCTTTATCTGTCTATCGATCTATCTCTTTTTATCTGACTACCTGATTATCCCTCCATCTATCTATCTCTTCATCTATCTGTCTATCTATCTATCTACCTGTTTATCTATCTAATTCTATCTATCTATCTATTTATCTATCTATCTTGCGTGTGTCTATTTGTTTCTCCATCTATGTATCTATCTGTCTATCTATCTGTCTATCCATATATCTATCCACATATCTATCTATCTATCCATCTATCTATCTAACTATCTATCTAACTATCTATCTATCTATCTATCTCTCCATCTCTCTATCTATCTATCTATCTGTCGGTCTGTCTGTCTATCTATTTATCTATCCATCTCTCTATCAAACTATCCAGCACCCTATCGAGCTATCTATCTATCTGTCTATCTGTCTGTCTATCTATCTATCTATCAATCTCTGTCTCTCTCCTGTCTCTCTCCATCTATCTTATCTACCTATCTATTTAATTCTATCTATCCATCTATCTATCTATCTATCTATCTATCTATGTACCTATCTCTCGCGTATCTGTCTATCTATCTATCTATCTACCTATCTATCTGTCTATCTATTTCTCTATGTATCTATCTATCTATCTCTTCTCTATCTCTCTAACTACCTGTCTATCTCTCTAACTATCTACTTTCTTTCTAATCTATTTATCTATCTATCTGTACCTAAACTTGCGAAAGTGCCGCGCCTGCCACGAAGTCTGTACTCGACCTTGCGAAAGTGCCGCGCCTGCCACGAAGTCTGTACTCGACCTTGCGAAAGTGCCGCGCCTGCCACGAAATCTGTACTTGGCCTTGCGAAAGTGCTGCGCCTGCCACGAAATCTGTACTTGACCTTGCGAAAGTATTGCGCCTGCCACGAAACCTGTACCTGACCTTTCGAAAGTGCTGCGCCTGCCACGCCATTCAAACCTTGGGAAAACTTGACCTTGCGAAAGTGCTGCGCCTGCCACGAAATCTGAACCTGACCTTGCGAAAGTGTTGCGCCTGCCACGCAAGTCAAACCTGGCGAAACCTTCGCGTTGCCGTGCCAATGGGCCCGCGCTCCGAGCATGGTCCGAACGCGCTCCGAACGCGCTCCGAACGTGGTCCGAACGCGCTCCGACCAGGCGCCGCGAACAGGCTAGCTTTCGGCTCTCCGGAGACACCAATTCACGCACGGGGCCATGCTTTTTGCAGCTTTCTATCCTCCCACCACACGCGCGCACATATTTTCTCACGCGCTTATTCCTTCTCTTCATCTGTCTCAGAGAGAGCTAGCTTTCAATTAGTTGCCGTAACGCGGAAGTTCCTTCTAAACTTCCTTTGACTACTACTACTACTACTACTACGACTACTACTACTACTACTACTACTACTACGCGGGCGTTGGCTGAGCCATGTGGAGCTCGGCATGGAAGATAGTACACAATCATCCCGAAGGTACTTCGACGCGCAGAGTCATTGCACAGAGTCATTTGCGCAGCGAGTCACTTGCGAAGCGCAATGCTCATGAGAGGCACTTGCGAGGAGCCATGCTCATGAGAGTTCTCATGAGAGGAGTTTTAAATTCCTTCCTTCTCTTCTTAGGGCGGCGGGGTAGGGCCGACAGCAACCCTCTGCGTGGTCGACGTTAAAAAACTGAGGACATTTTACGAGTTTTAATCTGCGCGCGCGACCCTCCGCGCGGATCTCCGTGGTCGATGTTAAAACTGACGACGCATCACGGTTTTACATCTGCGCGCGCGACCCTCTGCGGAGATCCGCGTGGTCGATGTTAGAAAACTGAGGACATTTTACGATTTCTGCGTTTCGCGCGCGACTCTGTGCACAAATCCGCGTGGTCGATGTTAAGACATTTTACGACTTTACATCTGCGCGCGCGACCCTCTGCGGAGATCCGCGTGGTCGATGTTCAAAAACTGAGAAACTTTTTACGATTTCTGCGGTTCGCGGGCGACTCTCTGCGGAGATCCGCGTGGTCGATGTTAAACAAACTGAGGACATTTTGGGAGTTTTAATCTGCGCGCGCGACGTGGTCGATGTTATAAAACTGAGGGCGTTCCTCGACTTCTGCGGTTTGCGCGCACCCTCCCCGGAGATCCGCATGGTCGATGTTAAAAACTGATGATTTTTAAGATTCTATTTTGCGTGCGCGACCCTCTGCGGAGATCGGCGTGGTCGATGTTAAAGAATTGGGGACTTTGTAAGATTGTTAATACCTAGAGATTCGTTGCGGCAGAAATTACTGCCGCAAATCAAAAAGGGCGCCTTTTTGGATTTGCGGCATTTCTTCCTGATTTGCGGCGTTTTTTTAGAATTGCGGCAGAACTTGTTTTCAGTTTTTTCTACCCCCCGATTTGCGGCGGAAATCGGCGGGAATGCGGCGGAAATCGGCGGGAATGCGGCGGAAATTCCCGGAAAGCAAACGGTGTTGCGGCGTTTTTGTTTTGGTTGCGGCATTTTTTGGGTTTGCGGCTGATTTTCTGGAATGCGGCGGGAATTTCCGCCGCAATGCGTTGCGGCAGAAAGTTCCGCCGCAGGAAGTTCTAGGTATGCCCGAGGGACCGTCTGCGCAGGTCGGCGTGGTCGAAGCGCGGTCGCTGTGGCGCCGTGCGAATGTGCAAAGTGCCCGATGAACCCTCTGCGGGGATCCCGCGTGTCGAAACGCTCTTCCTGTGGCTGTGGCGCCGCGCGAACGTGTTGCTTGCGAACTGGTCTTTGGAAGTTGTCGCGTGGTTTGCGCGGCTGCTCTCGGAGTCGCACGGTCGCGGGTTCGATCCCCGCCTGGCCCGCGGCAGCTTTTCTAGACAGAAATTGCAACTTTTAAGTGCAAACGTAGTGCGCGGAGTACAGTCCTGTAGCTCCGGCTAGTATGCAAAGTACTTCCCGAAAGCTCCCGCAGCACTTGCGCAGAGCAACTTGCACAGAGCGCTTGTAGTAGTAGTAGTAGTAGTAGTAGTAGTAGTAGTAGTAGTAGTAGTAGTAGTAGTAGTACTAGTAGTGGTAGTAGTAGTAGTAGTAGTAGTAGTAGTGGTGGTAGTAGTAGTAGTAGTAGTAGTAGTAGTGGGGGGAGTAGTAGGAGTAAGCTTACGACTGATACGAGTGCTACTTCTACAATTTCTCGCGCTAGTACTGTTGTGATTATACCACAATTGTTACTATCACAATTGCTTCTACGACTTACTACTACTACTACTACTACTACTACTACTACTACTACTACTACTACTACTACTACTACTACTACTACTACTACTACTACTACTACTATCGCTATTACTACGACTACTACTAAGAAAAGCATCCAACACCGATGCTTTCAATGATGTGTAAAACGGCACGGAAGGAAAATCGATAACGGTGTTGAGGGTCAGTTGAAAGGGTCTAGGGTTTTCTTACCCATTGTTTTGCGCGTTTCATGTCCGGTACATCTTTTGAGCGAACCTCACTCTTCAAGCGTGTGTGTGTGTGTGTGTGTTTGTGTGTCTGTGTGTTTGTGTTTGTGTGTTTGTCGTGCCGGTTTGCTCTTGGTACATGTTCATGGCACAAGAGCAATACGACACACAAATAATCCCGCCCTAGATGTGGCAACTATAGTGAAGAGACGGGCTTGAGGCTTGCAGTGGTGCTTCACCTGTTGCTGGAGTTCCTCCTTTTCCGCACGGTGGAGCACCTTGAGCGCACTTCGAATGACTTTTATAGTTTCCTCCAGTGGTATGCCCATGTATGCCCTCAGGATACTCTCATGCAGGGGCAAGCCGGACAAAATGGTCGACGTCTTCTTTGATGCCTGTGATGATGTTGAGCTGGACGAATCTCGGCGTAGGCAGCTGTGTTTTGCTGGTGGGACTCAGGGGTAGCTTTTGGCCTGCAGCAGTACTGCTTCTTTTTGACAGCGAGTCAGGTACTTGGCCTGTCAGCTTCCTATTTGCTTTCGTTTGTCTTCGCCTTTGCAATTACTGGGTCTCAAAGCAACTTTGAATTTTATCAGCGGCCATCGACAATATCGCTGACCACAGCCTTCGAGATATTCGTGATCGGCCTTGCATTCCTTGCAGCTTGGGTTTTCAAGGTCGATCTCTTCGGTTAGTGCCAGGACTTGTGTCGACAGATTTGTGCCAAGCTGCCATACGACTTGAGCAGAATGATGTACTTTCACTTTTATGTGTTGCAGTGCTTGTTGCCAGTGTCACTTCAGGCACTTTCTACTGCACTTGTGGTGATGTGGAAGGGGCGCCCGAACGAGCCGATGTGGCGGACGAAGGCCTGCCATTGCATGGGCTCTGAGCTATGGCTTTGCTGCCAGATGCTGCCAGGTCCGAGAGCTGCTACAATCAGCCCTCGCTTTGGTGTTCTCATGGTGCACCCTACATGCAATTCGATGGACAACCGTCGACTTGTGCAAGGAGCCGGCATGGATCAAAACGCGTCATGGATTCATGACAAGGTGTGCGACAGTGACACGTTGCGTTCGCGTCGCGACATGTTGGCAGAAACACGTCATCAGCCTGCTGCCAGCTTCATTGGTGGTGCTGATTTGCTGTGCTCCCAGGCTGCGGTAGGAAAGGAACATGAAGGAACCCTCACTCCGTGCCTTTAAGCGAGGTTACGAGGGAGTGAAAATGCAGAATGTGGTGTCACTTTGGGCCACATTGAAGCACAAGCGCCAAGGCTCTAACCACCTCCACTGTAGCCTTTGCTGTGATACTTCCCTTGGACAAGATTCAGGATTGCCGGGGACTGAGTTTTTGCTGCGGCAGCCCAGGATGTACATCTGCAAGTAGTTCCCAGGCCTAGATACACGGGAAGGTTGTAATTATTTATATGAGAGAGGTACGAACAGCAGGCACGGATGTGCAAGCTAGGAGGAGCCATTGGTTCTAGTTTGCTGATTCTTGCAAAGGAACTTGAGCACCTGTGCGGGAACAAGTTTGGACACGAGTAGTGAACACGCTTTCTTTCGGCAATGCCTTTGGGGGCCTACCCGCATCCTGCTTAGATGGCTCAAAGCCGTGGGGGTTTTAATTTCTAATACAACATGGAAAGTTATTTGCAAGATTGAAGGATGGGTGCTAGGGGGCGTGCAGTTTGGGGCGCTAGTGTAGGAGCTGCTTGAGGTGCTGTTTGAGCAGCTGATAATGGCGCGGGCGCATTTTGTTACGATTGACAGCAGGGTGCTAGGGCATGCAGTTTGCTGGCGCAGGTGCTGTTTTGGGATGCTGTGTGGGGTGCTGTTTGAGGTGCTGAGGATGGTGCGCTCGCATGTTTGCAAGATTGACGGCCGGGTGCTCTGGGAATGCTATGTGGGCGTGCTGTTCGGGGTGATGGTGCTGGCGCACTTTTGCGATTGATGGCAGGGTGCTTAGGGGGCATGCAATTTGGGGTGCCGGTGCGGGTAGTTTGGGGAGTGTCTCGCGCTTTTGCGAGATTGACGGCGGGGTGCTAGGGGTCATGCAGTTGTGTTTGTGGGCCTGGAGATTGACGGCAGGGTGCTAGGGTGTAAGGGGCATGCAATTTGGGGATTCTCGTGAAGGTGCTGTCTTGGGATGATGTTTAGGGTGTTGGTCAGTGCTGTTGGAGGTGCTGCTGTGCAATCGCTGGCACGGATTTCGCTATCTGAAGTCTATGATGGTTTAATTTTCTGTTTCGGGTCAAAGCACTGTGCAGGAGTCCCAAGCAACAGCCTTCCACTGAGCAATCTCAAAAAACTTGCCATAATATGTGTGGCTTGTGACGCAAGATGATTGGCCCTCGGGCCGTCCAGTATGAGCTTCCACTTGAAGCTCCGAGTTAGCAACCACCGCTCATCAGTTTCCAGATGGGCTTCTGAGGTGTCCGCCATGCTGGAGGTTCTGGTAGAATCTTCAAGATCCTCGTCCGCAATAGTTATTCGCCAACCGCGGCAGATCGGACACCTACAGCGAATTCAAATGCACCTAAGTTTGACGAGCCTTTTGAGCAACAGCCAGAAGTAGTTCGACAACTGCACAACCGCTCGCTTGACTTTGCTCGCTTGACTCTTGTGCTTCAGGCAGGTGATCATCGCTCTGGGGGTGATTGTGGGCGTTTCGTGGGAGCCCATATTCGACATGGCTGTCAAAGTGGCGGCCCATGAGCCACTTGGAACAGAGCTCTGTGTGTTCCGGCTCCTATGGCTGCCGCTCCGGATTCGAGGCTTTACGGGTTCGTTTAGCGGCTTCAAGGAGACTCTGTTTGATAAGTTTCGTTAGAGTTTGTTCAAAGGTCGGAACTTGGCAATATGGTCCCACTCCAATGGGACTGTTCCGTCAGTTGCTTTGTTGAACACCTTGATATCTGCCTCGTGAGCATAGGCATGCCTGGCCAGAGCAGACGCGTTTGATCCTCTCAATGGCTCTCGTCTTCATATTGCTTCCGGCATGGAGAAGGCAAACGTCAAAGCCACCGCCACTGATAAACAGAGACCTAATGACACGGCATTCAAGCACTTGACACGGCGTGAAGCCCTAATGGCAGCCAGTGGCAGCCAGCCCCCTGAAAGGTTTGTCCTGTCGAAGCAGCTGGGCTATGCAGCGCTGCGAACGGAGCGGAGAAGCTGGGCTCTCGGCCAGAGTTCTTACAGGTCGGTTTCAATCAATAGCCAGTGCTTTTCCGTGCACTGTTGGGACAAAACGGCCGTTTGGACCCCTATCCTATCCCCGCATGCAGTAAAAGGTTTGGCAAAGTACCAAGGCAAGACATTTCTACTGAAGGATCAGGATGTGGTGATGGCCGAGCCGCAGCTTGCCTGCACTCATGTCACAGCCCAAAAAACCAAGGTTTGAGTGTTTACAGAACGTGCAGTAGCCGGTTGGAGAACTTACAGCTTGAACACATCCCGCATGCGGCCGACCTTTACAGCCTAGCGCCATGAAGGGTGTCTTTTTGTCAGAAGGGAAGGATTGTCATTGCAGAAGTCGTTGTACTTGTCGCCATGAGGCGCTAGCTCCACACTTCCACGCTAGCAGGCGGCATCCCAAGTAAGGATGCGCTTTGGGCTTCACGGTAAAGGCGGCACTGTGCTAAAGGTTGCCTGCAAGCCCACACCTCTACAATTTTCAATTGGTGCGCATTTTCCACGGGCAACCGCGGTGTGCTCTCCAGCACAGACAAGCAAGCGAAAATCGGTCCTTCATGCACAGGGCTATGTCCAACTTGTTTAGCAGCCACCAATTGGACAACCCTCCGCATGTGTTATCGCGGATGATCACAAGCCTGCAAGCTAGCGAAGGCTTCCGCCGGTGGGCAGGTCAAAGATACAAGATGGCAGAGGGTGCAGCCTTTTGAGATGAGCCTGTCGGATTTCCATAGGTACCATAGGCGTGCGCAGAAAGGAGTCTCACAGTTCCAGGTGCCAAAGCTTGCACCTCTGATGGGATCCACGGATGAGCTACCGCCCGGCATGCCCGGCCAATCACTTGGGAGCGCCACCCGGCAAATTCAAGGATCCCAACAACGGCGGGAGCGCTCCCGCTCATCAACGAATCAGCCAGCATGTTTTGTTCGCTTCCGGGGTTCCCGTATGGTTCTGGCGGTGCTGCATGTGTTTCGGGGTGTGCAGCGAAAAGTTGCTACAAGCTAGAGGCCGGCCCTGATGGCCCGGTTCTCATAATATGGAGCTTTTCTCCTCTTGTATCATTCTGCTTGCACTCAGGCTTTGCAGCCAGACCAAAATGGTGAGCAGATAGTGTGACAAGAGCCACAAGAAAAGTCAACATTCTTCGCGCTTCCAGCTGGCGCTATGGCAGCAGCTGCAGCAGCTGCCTCCAAATACACGGGCAGGCGCACATTCGCTTGCGGTTGGCTTATCGGAAGCCAGTCATTGAGGTTAAGACAGCCTGGAAGGCTTTTCTCATGTCAAAATTAGGTACCCTATCAGATGCCCTCAGGGGTGTCCCAAACCTGTTTCCATTCCATTTCACTCTGCTGCAGTAGGTATCAAGCTTCATCCACACTATGCTCGTCCGGGACGCAACATTCTTCCTCAAGTCCTCCCATCTTTCCAACTTGAGGCCATGAACTGTGTCCCATCTTGTCAGCCGTATGGATCACCTGGATCTGAACGGCTTGAGATGTCTCTGTCAGCCGTCGACCCTCAAGGTTTGCACCCTGCCCGGTGGGTGTCCTCTGGGTATCGGACTCCCTTGGCACTGATACGCTGTAGCAACCTCGCTCAAGTTCTTGTTCTTAAGGGTGGAAGTACATACCCCTTGTTCGTACCCTTGGCTTTCCAGGTTTCCAACCCACTATAGAAGGGGCATGAACATCAGCATGCCTTTTGGGGTTCATATGCCCAAGGGGAACGCAAAAGGGGTATGCACAAGCACCCTGGATTGTCTTGGTGAGAGAGAGGACGAGGGAAGCATCTCCGTTTGCTTCAACAGCCTTCACATGGCGGCTGTTAGCGGGAAAGGTGCAAAGACAATTCCTTGCCAGGTAAGTTCCGTCCAGCATGGGCGGTGTAAGGACTCGCTGTCACTTGCCTCGACTCTCGGAAATTCAGTCATGCTTGAATACGAGGAAGCCAACTGCCTGACAACAAGACCCTCTTTCCTTTCTACCTGTAATCATTGAATCTCTATTCTTGAATTATTGTTTGTCTGTATCTCACGATGCCATGGGTCACCTACAGTCATTCCAAGTCCAAGTGAGTGAATGGCGAATGGACGAAGACTTTTTCCCTCTCAACATCCAGAATATGTGTTTTGTATCTCATGTCGTCTCTCTTCTTCACAATCATAAATCCAGACTAGTGTCTGAGGTGTTGATTGGGGATGAAAAAGGCTTCACAAGGAATAGGATAGCTTCGTCTGGATTCTTATGTCTTCAATTTATATGCTATCTTATTTTCAACTATTGAAACACCAAGTGTAGAAAGCTTCTTATATTGCTGATTATCTTTCCAATTCACATCATGTCCAATTTCCTATAGTATGTCGTCTTATCTTTCCATTACTTGTTGTAAACTTTAGACTAATGCACATTTCATATTTGTTTTTGGTATTGTATAGAAAATCATTTATAGAAACCTGATTGTTTTGTATCTGTCTAGTCTCTTGTGATCTTTTGTTGTATGTTTAAATTGTTGTTTGTGTTCTTTATGTTCCCATGTCTGTCTTACTTCCATGTATGGTTCTAGGTCTTAGTATTTGATTTTCTTGTGTGTTGGCTTAATGTACTTCCCATGACCTCTTTGTGTTACCAGTTATTCTTACCTTGTTGTGTGTATCTTTGCTTTGCATTTTGTTTTTGTATTCTTGAGGATTCTTCGGCATATTGTCTCTTCTCACTAACTTTCGAGAGACAGAAAGACAGACATTGGATGAGAGGCGAACCTTCCCTGAGAGCTGTTACAGAGATGAAAGGCGAGTCTTTGTCATCCTCCTCTCTCACACACTCTCTCTTTCTCTCTCTTTCCCTCTTATCTCCAGAATATTTATGTTGAGATTATTTGGTGAAGAGAGGATACAGAGTGGGAGAGGAGCCAATTGGCGACTCATAAGAATGAGATGGGACAGGATAGGATGGATATGAAATGGAACGGAGCGTGTTGGGTCTCTCTTTCCTTGTCACGTCTCGCTCGTCTTGATGTTGCTTTCATGCCCAGTTCTTGATGTTAGGCGTACCATTGAAGAGATAAATAATAGAAACAACCAAAATACTTGGAACATGAAAAGTTCGGAGTGACAAAGAGCTAGGAGTATAAATGAGATGCTTCTAAGACTAGACATATTTTATGACGAACATGCATGTTGTTTAGTTGCTTGACATTCCTTCTCAACTTCCAGGCTTGATGACCAAAGACCCAGATGCTGAGAGTTGGCGAAAGGAATAGACTGGTCAAGTAAGGCCACACATGATGAAGGGAGAATGTGAGAGATTTTAACACGTTACAATGGTGCAAATACTACAGTTAGATATATCTATGTCAGATCAACTGATTGCAACAATGCAATGGTGGAGTACAAAGATGAAAGATGAGTCGAAAAGCTTGCAAACTAAGATCCAACGAGGAAGAGGGACCGCCAGGAAACGAACCATTTTGAGAGGGATGTGGTATTAGCAGCCTTCGGCGGGTCATGACCCGCAGGTATGCGCTGCATCCACTGCTTCCTGGAGCCGCGCAGGCTGTGGCAGATGTGGCCGCCTAAAACCGCACACCGGCACTTTTGCTCCTTTTATGCCATTTCCAAAGCGGCTGGTTGAGTGCAGTGACATCAGTCCTTCAAGATCGGAAAAAATCTAGAAGCCACCACTCCATTGCGGCTGCGCACAGCTCAAAGCCGTTAAAGCGGCAGCCCAGTTGGTCCAGCTGGTCAACTTCTGAACCTGGTTGGTTTGGTTGGTCTGGTGGAGCCAGGTTAGTTCAGTTGGTTCAACCACTGATTCGGTTGACAGTCTGTCAATCGGGTTCAATTTCACCACGTTGCAGCAGCTTGTTTGTTCGACCAACTGGACAAACTGGACCGTGCGTTTTAGCCTTCGCACTCGAAATGTCTCACGAAGGGGAGCTATGCCCATGACGCACTCCACAATTGCGGTTTCTCATTCTTGCCGAGCTCAGGCGTGCAACGGCAGGCTTCACCCGTCGTGGACAGCCAAAGCACAGTCGTTGTACGGACCTTACGACCAGGAGCTATGTGTGTACCGTTGCAGCTCAGGGAAATCTGTGGGGATGATCTGTCCTTCTGGCCTGCATAGTGCTTTCTTTGGCAAGGCTCGGCACCTGGGAGACTTTCCTGCCTGTTTGAAGCGTGGAATCAGCGGTTCGCATCGTTTGCCCAAGTGGTGCAGCAAAGCGATTTGCAAGCTGATGGCAGGAAGCTGCACGTGTGCATGCCGCGGTACACCAACTTTTTGGTGCTGAGCTCAATCCAACTTTTGTTCGGGGAATTTGTCAGAAGCATGCAGCATACACCAGCCCCCCCAAAAGATCACCGGCCTTCGCTGGAGCCCGCTGCGACAGCAGGCAAAGTGCAACCGTAAAGACTTGAAGCGGCCGCATGCCCAGCAGTGAAGGTGGGGCAAGGTGGGGCAAAGCGACACACACACACATGGCTAACGTGCAGAGCACCACGTTCAATCGTCAAGGCCGCACGTTTTCATGAACGAAAACGCTCAAGCTGCCTTGGCGGAGCCGAATCCTCAGCCAGAAACAACTGCTCATGTTTGTGATCAGTCTGCGTGGGTCGGCATGTTGCTCCGCAGCTGAGGGTTGAAAGTTGCTTCGATGCGGGTGTGCATTACAATTAGGGCCAGCTCCACACATTAGGGTGCAAAGTTGAAAGGTGTGTGACATTATGTGACTCTCCGATTGAGCAAGCGTGAGCAGAGCGCACATGTCTTGTTTAGCATTCATGAAGTGAGTGACGGCTTTGCCAGAGACAAGTGGACGAGCGACTGCGAGCGACTGCGAGCGACTGCGAGAGCTCCCGATGTCCCCGGCCGTGACTTTACTCCTGGCTGCTGGTGGTGGCTTTCTTTGGGCTTTTGGCATTTTGGGCAAGCGGATTGGCGTCGATGGGGCGACCAATGCCGAAAAGCCTGTGCGCCGCTCGAACGCGCACATAAAATTCCGAGTGCCAGAGGTAATGTTGCATAGTCAAGAATTCGAGCTCAAATGAAACACACCGCATGCATGCAGGCATGGCTCATTGGTGGCATGTGGGTGTCTAGGTTCTGCGAGACATGTTGGGAAGCTCCTTTTGTTAAGCTTCTTCATGCTTCAGCATACAGCTGATCTCCTTGCCCCTTCACCCAATTCAGATGGTTCTTTTTGCTGCTCCTTGCTGGAATATTGCTTTCCATGCAGTTGTTTGAACTGACAAGGTGCAAGCATTACCATCTTCGTGTACGCATGCACTACGACCATCACGCCAGCCATTGACTTGGTGCGCATGGGCTCAGATGGTTGGCAGAAGGCGTGGGATTCCGAGTGGAAGGAGCGTATTCCAGGAATCATGTTCTGTGGACTTGTGAGCGGTTTGGGAGGCCTCTTGGGCACCTTAGCCTTCGCTTGGTCCGCCGGTTCCTCCAGCGCGTTGCTCTCGATGATTGAGAACGGGGCGTACACCGTGACCGGGGCATTGTTTATCGCCCTCTACTACCAGGAGCATCCCAGGCCGCAGGCCTACGCCGGCTTTGCCCTCATCATGCTGGGTGTGCTGCTGGCACAAAGATCCTCGAGCACGAAGATGAAAGATTTGGACAAGGGCCAGGAGAATGTTGCGTTCTGTGAGAGCGAAAGTCAGGAGACTTATTCAGAGAGCTCGGCAATTGACAGTGAAGCAGAGGAGTCGCTTGATGCACCGACCTCGAAGCGCATGTGGTCCTTGGGGCTCGCAGTTGTGGCGGGGACTTGCTGGGGGTTTGGACCACTTGGGAAGAAGATGGGCGTGCATCAAGCAAGCGAAGAACAAAAGCGTGACTGGTCGACTTGCACATATTTTGTTTATATTATGTCCACAATCTTGATTCCAATGGGCCGCATGCTTTGCAGTACTGCGGAGCACAGATCAAATGCCTTGCGGGATAGGCATTTTCGATGGCTTCTATGTGGAACCACGCTGTGCGGCTTCCTTTCCGGCTGCGGTGGTCTTGTGAGCACATTTGCATTTTCGCAAGAAGCCTACTTCTCTGGAGCACTCGTATCCACCGTGGAGAATGGGGTGTACACTGTCTTTGGCGCTTTGCTTATCACTGTGTTGTTCAAAGAGCACTTGAGCTGGAACCAGTGCTTGAGTGCTCTACTTGTCTTAGCTGGTATTTTGGTTGTTGGTATGGACTTTCGTTGGCTAGCACAGCTTTTAGGCATCTGAGTTTGGGCGCGTTGCAACCTGCAGTGCCTGAAAGTGGCACAGCAGTTTGGACTGCCCACGGGACGATAATCAATACGGCGAGTGTGCTCCTTGAAATTGGCATTGATTTCGTGGATGGCCTGTGGTATGACACAAAACAAGTTCACAGCGCGAGAGTCACCATCAAGCGAGACATGATGAAAGGTGTTTCCTTGTTTGAGTTTAATTGGTGGGGTGATCATCAGCCCTGGAAACACTATTTTGCACAGCTGCGAGGATCCCTACAAAGGAACGGTATTTCCCCCATGGCGCAAGGAGTTTGACTCCCAAGTAAATGTCGTCCGAGGATGACTCTCAAATATGTATAATCAATACACATATTCATATGCTGACCCCCCTCCATGGTCCACGCGCCCATGCCTTCATGGGTACATCAGTTTGATGCCACATATAATGCAATCTGCTTCATCGTAGGTCTATTTAAATTCTAACCAGAATCTGATCAGTTGACATTGTGGTCAAATATGTCCTTAAGAGAGGCCTGAAAGGAAGTGCATTGAAACACATAATTCAATATAGCATGTCTAATCAAGTTCTAGTTCCAATCCTACTTAATGCCTTGCAATTAAAACTTGCAAATCCATATGCTGAAATTGCATTTTCCTTGACGTGCTATCGGCGTTTCACTGCTTTTTAAGGGCAGTCAAATTTGCAGAAGCGACCATGGTGTCTTTTATTGATTGAAAATACTAGTTGAGATTTACTTGCAAAGGAAATCCGGTTGAACATTCACGTCAAAAAATGTGATTAAGCAGTTTTGTTAAATTATTCAAAGTCTATTTCAAATCCTGCTTGCAAAGGATTTCTTACGCAATGAGTATTTCATGTCAACTAATTAGAAGAAACAACCAGCCCAATAGGGTTCTAATAAGCTCAGGTGATATCCCCAACAGCATGCGGTGCTCCATTTAGTGCTCGCATCCCGCAGCCCTCGCAGAACCCTGGTGGCACCCTCGTGGAACCCTCGAGTCACCCTCGTGGAACCCTCGTGGAACCTTACCTCAGGGCCGCCCGGACCACCCGGAGCCTATCTGGGCTGAGACCCCAAAGCTTTCAGCTGTTGGGGAATAAAAATATGGTTAGAGCCCTACGTGAAAAGACCATCCTGTTTAAAATCTAGTTCAAAATGAGAATGTGAACTGAAAACTAATGAAATTCCTACTTTAGAACTGAAATTGTATTTTCCTTTGCTCTCTTTTGGCTTTCACACAAGCCCTCAAGAAGACTATTAAGGCACCATCTCAACACTTTGCGGACAGCAACATGCTTCAGCTATCCTGTCAAGGCCAGTTTTCTTAGGAGCCTCTCAGTGTTTTCAGCCTTTAAGCCCAAAGTGCTGCGAGGTCTGCCATGGAGGCCTTTGGAAACAGAAACAAGTTGAACCTACTAGCACTTTGAGCTCCTGGAAGCACAAAATGCATACCTATGTTCTGTTGCATGGATGAAATTCCATTTGGTTCATCTGAAAGCACAACGAGCTCAGTTTGTTTATGAAGCCATGTAGTAACCAAGTAGTCTCATTTTAAACAATCCACACAGTCTGTTTCATCACATGCCACATTAAACGCGTCTGCTTCATCTTAGGTTTAATCAATCTTTGATCAGAATTGGGTGAGAATCTGATCAGGCCAAAGGTTGATCGTGGATCATTAGGGGGGGTGACCACTGTACATATATATACATATATATATAGGAGGGGTATTTATTTTAGGATTTTATTCCGTGTTTTTTCTTTCCTCGTTTTTTTTTCATTTTGGCTTCTTGGCTTCTTGGCTTCTTGGCTTTTTGGCTTCTTGGCTTTTGGCTTTTTGGCTTCTTGGCTTTTGGCTTCTTGGCTTCTTGGCTTCTTGGCTTCTTGGCTTTTGGCTTCTTGGCTTTTTGGCTTCTCGGCTTCTTGGCTTCTTGGCTTTTCGGCTTCTTGGCTTGTTGGCTTCTTGGCTTTTGGCTTTTTGGCTTCTTGGCTTCTTGGCTTCTTGGCTTTTTGGCTTCTTGGCTTCTTGGCTTCTTTGCTTTTCGGCTTCTTGGCTTTGGCCTTTCGCATCCTCTGCATTCCCAGTTCCTCTTTCGGCAGGTGGCATTTTGGCTTTTGCGGCTTTTCGCTGGTTTATGCGGCGTTTGGCGGCTTTAGCTTTTTGCACTCTGCTTTCCCAGTTCCTGTCCGTGCTTTTTGGCTTTTGCACCCTTTCATTGGTTTTTGGATGTGGCTTCCCGCATCATCAGCATCACCAGTTTCTCCCTATTTGAATCATCACTTCTTCGAACATCATGGGGGAGCCCCCCCCGCAACCCACCCGCTACTGTTTAGATTGCCCCTATTTGAATCAACACTTCTTCAAACATCATGGGGGGCTGCCGCCTCCCCCCCGCTACTTTTTGGATTTATCTTGCAGAGATTGAATTGCACTCCTAGTTCAATCATCACTTTTCGAGCGTCCAATTTCGCGAGAAAATGCTGCAAAATACGACATTTTAGGTGTTCTGTGTAATCCATGTATGTCTGTATGTATGTACTTCTTCGAACATCATAGGGGAAGCCACCCCCTCCAACCCTCCCGCTGCCTTTTTAAATTCTATCGCACCCTTTCTTGAATCATTGCACCCCTACTTGAATCATCACTTCTTCCGACATCATGGGGGGGGGCTGCCGCCCCCCCCCAACCCCCCCGCTACGTTTTAGATTTTCTACAGAGATTTAATTAATTGCAACCCTAGTTGAATCATCAATTCTTCGAACATCATGGGGGGGGCTGCCGCCCCCCCCCCCAACCCCCCCGCTACTTTTTAGACTGTTTGCAGAGATTTAATTGCACCCTATTCAAATCATCACTTCTGCAAACAACATCATGGGGGGGGGCTGCCGCCCCCAACCCCCCCGCTACTTGCTGTTTATTTTCAGGGATTGAAATGCCCTCCTATTTGAATCATCATTTTTTTTACCCCGTCAACCCGCCAGCTACTTGTTTGACTTTGTTACCCACGTTTTGTTGGTGATGCTAGTGGCCCGGACGGAAAAAAACATCAGACAAAAAATCAGAAAAAAAAAACAATCCAACAATAAATCCGCACCCATATATATATATACTATTATATATATATATATATTCATTGTCTAGGAGTATGACAGTTCCGTGTTGTTGTTTGTCGTGCGGAGGTCATGTGCTGGAACTGGATACTTGTGTGCTTCGGGCTTTGCAGCAATGGCTTGGCTGTATAATATGCACAACGCAGACATGGGAATGGAAACATCTGCGATCATGGCCAAATGCAACTCGGACATTGCCGTGTGGTTTATCACATCGCCCACGTAGACGCGACCCCCCAACCTGCAACAGATTCCTTTAGCACCCTTTTCAGGTGCGTGCCTCGTCAATGGGAAACCTGTGCGTTTATTTATAGTACTTTGTATGTGCATGTGTTTGCAGCAATCTTGGTGTGGCCATTCCGGCGGATCCCATGTATTGTAGTCATGTTGCAGGTTCTACCTATGCTGCTCGCTTCGTTTGCGAGAGGAAGCTGTGGAAGCTATAGGGCAGGCCGCTAGCTCTCGTTCTCTGCATCCAGCAAGTCTGCCAAAGTCCAGGTTGCAAATGAAAAAGGGTGCTCTAAATTTAGCGTCACATGATATACACGAGTCATCAGGAGCATATGCTAGCACGTTGCTGGCACACTTGATCAGGATTCCTCGAAGCTGTTGGCCTTGGCACGAGAGGTGTGACACATTTTTGTCGGACTCTTTGGACAGCTGGCATTTGGATATAGGTGGCTGAAGAGGATGTGGAGCCTTTCTTCCAGGCAGCACAGATCAAGGAAAGTTCTTTCATGCCTCGCGCATTGGCGCATTGCTTCAGGATTGTCGCGAGTTTGTGGTGAGTTATGATGAGGCGCACTGCGCACTTGTGGTGCATACGGCATGCTTGATGCCAGAACATAGTAGCAGGCGCTTCATCGACGCTTGGATGACACGACAATTTGGCGAGAGGCAGGCCAGCCTGCTTTACACGCACAAGCATGCTGTTGACAAACAGCAGTCGATCCATTTTTTTGGACCATGACATGACTGCTTGCACCATTGACAAGGTTCTAGTTTCAAACGCCTTGCTTTGTTGCTCAATTTTGCGCATTCCAGCTACTCTGGCCTTTGGCTCGACTTTAGCAGGTGGAGGACGGCCTATTCTGGCATCACAGCTTTGAAGTAGCCGCACCAGAGGCTGAGGGACAGGGCAAATTACAGAGTTCCTGTTGGTGACCTGGAAATCAGAGGCTTACAGAGATCTTCGGCAGGAAGCTCTTCCCACGGAGGCCCGGCTTGCTTTGCGACTTGGGCTGGAGTTCTCCGACAGTGATGAGGCCGCGTGGCCAGACCGGGATGACTCAGCTGCCATAGAGGCAGTGCCCGTTCCTCAAGTAATATGCTTCAAGGTCCGCCCAGTGTTCAACGCCTATATTTGAGCCAAGGTTGGAGCAATTCAGCAGTGCCATACAAGGGTCCTCCAAATCCAAAGCAGAGGCGGGCTGTTCGTGCCATGCGGTGCACACGCCCGTTGAACCTTCTGCACGATCTGAGTGAACTGGCTGGCGCGTGCCTGCAACATGGAGCAACTTAATTGGGTAGACAGCGGTAGACGGCTCATCCACGATTGCGATGTTTGGCTCTCAAGACATTGAATTCAATATTTCCCAGCCGCCACGATCCCTAGATCCAGGTGAGCCATGAGCGGAGCAGTGCCACTCAGCCCTGTCCAACAAAAGGCACTTAATGAGCTAGTTGGTGCCATCAAGACGAAAGCCGCTCCACTCGTTGAACTTCGATCTCCACCTGCCTTAGCAAGAGGTTACGGAGTTTCTCTTGTTCTGAAGGCAGCCGCGTCCCAGCTCGGGGCTCCGCTTTTGAGTGTGGCCACAGCACTCGAGCATGAGAGCGAAGGCCAAGCCAGCAAAGCTCTCTATGCTGCGGCTGTAGCGTCACTTACAAAGCATGGCATGGCCTTTATCGATGACTTGGACCTTGCTTGTGCTCCCCGCACAGTGCGACGCTCTCGGACCCTTGTGGGAGACATCAAGGGCTCAGGGGACATCTTCAACTGGGAGGTGGCATCAGCACCTGCCATGCTTCTCAAGGCCTTGAGCGACACAGCAGCTTCTGCGGGAGGTGTGATCACCTTCTCTTCCGTCGAAGACGCACATCTTGCGTTCATCCAGGCGCAAAGTTCTGCTACTTTAAATCTTGGGAGCATGAGACACAATGACACATCTGCAGGTCATGCTGCTCGTGCTATCCATGCTGGGCATCCTGTTCATGTTGCTTCCATCAAATTCCATCATGCTTGTCATTCCTGCATAATTATAATTAACATGTGTGACCAGATTTATCACAGGGCACAAAAAATGCCGACACTTTCAGGAACGATAGGGTTGACAAACAAATACACATACTATTCTTGATCCCTCCCTGGCCCACTACCTTTTTTTGCCATGACTGCCATTACTATTATTACAGTTATGTCTAGTGTCACTACCAGTAGAATCGGCGAAGCCGGTTGGCAGAAGCTTCAAACATATAAGAACCAAAGTTATGTTTATCTTGCTTTGTTTCTCTCTTTGATTTTCTCTTTCTCTTTGTTTGTCTCTTTCTCTTTGTCTAATATGTGGCTCCCAAGGCTACTTCAGAGGTTGCAGAAACATGCGTAATTTTCAAAAAACAAAGTAGCAATTCAAAACGGACCCCAAAGGCTTAAATGTCAAAAAGTAAGGGTTGTCAATGCAAACATGGGTTGAACAACTCCCATTTAAAAAATAGTCAAGCTTAGGGTTTGCTTTTCCAGAAACTTCCGACCACCGGCTTCGCCGGCTTTAGGTGGTGATTCCAACTGTTTCGCTTTTAGTACTACTATCACAATGGCCACTATTGCTATTTTATTTCCATAATATATTTTTCTTGCTGCTGTCACGACTACTATTTTTACTATTGTTACTCTTCTTCCTATTCTGACGATTGTTACCATCAATGCTACTATTGCTACTATGTGTTACTACGATTACTCACATTGCGTTTGTTGTCCTTGTTTCCACTTTTATTGTTACTAGTATTGCTTCTGTTGCTGCTATTCCTGTTGTTGCCTACCACTATGACTACTACTACAAACACTGTTTCTGTTACTGCTGCTTTACTTCCTCCTCGCGAAGCAGCACCATTTGCAAGGATATACAATATCGTGGACCTTGGCTTGATGAAATCTGCCTGGAGGCTGATGTAGTAATGTCATATATTGTCGTCATTTTTTTTGCATTTGGTTGTGCTTCACCCCTCACTCACTCACCTTCAGGCACCATTGACCGTGACCCTGGACGAGCCTTCTGTAAAGGACTACGACGCGGTGCTGCGCACCATGTCGCCCGCCGTCCAGGCAGAAACCATCTACGCCTTGCACTCACAGCTGTCTCCAGCGGAACTCAAGGCCGCGATGGCCCGGGTGCTGTCCAAGGGTGAGCTCTCGACGTCCTCGCTGCTGGCCTCCATCCGCGACGAGCTGGTCTCCGTGTCGGCGGTGGCCCCTGAGGAGGTGGAGCCCGTGGATCTGGCTGACTTCCCGGGCCTGGAGGGCATTAAGGAGGAGCTGGAGAGGAACGTGCTCTTTCCCTTGGAAAAGCCGGAGCAAGCCAAGCAGTTTGGTTTGACCCCCAAACGAGGAGTGCTACTGCACGGCCAGCCCGGCACTGGCAAGACCACCGTGGGCCGGTGGTTGGCGAATCGGCTCAAGGGGAAATTCTTCCTGGTTCGCGAGATGATGCTCCAGGTCAGAAGCTGAATGCCCAAAGGCATTTGTTTGTTGCAAACCCAACTGGCACTCATAATTAGTGAGTTGTGATTCAGTGACAGGCCGACATCATCAAGGTCTTTGCCGCAGCCCAGGCCGCCGCTCCAGCAGTGGTGTTCATTGATGACGCGGACATTGTGATTGGCGGCTGGCGACCCCTTGATGGACACCGAGGCTCGGACGTCTTCCGCTTTTTGCTTGGCCGAATGGACGGCTTGACGTCTCGCGGGAAGCGACAGAGGGAGAACGGAGATGTGGTGGTCATCCTGACTGGACAGAATGTTCACTGGATGGCTGATATGCTCTTGCGGAGTGGGCGAATTGAGCTCTGGCTGAAGACCAAGCTGCCGGAGCCCAGGCAGAAGAGGGAAATTCTCCGTAAATACATCAAGGAGGATGCTGGAGCCATGGAGCTCTTGGGCAACAGTGGTGACTTGCCCGATGTCCGGGCAGCAGCGCAAGCCAGTGACAGTTTTTGCTGCGCCGATTTGCGGCGTGTGGTGAGCGATGCCAAGATGCTTGCAGCATGGGATCGAGTCACTGATGGCAAAATCCTTGAGGGGGCAGCCTACCTCGAAAAAGCTGCCGAAGGTGTTCGCCGCATGCAGGAGGAGGTGCACTCCAATACGCGAAGCTTGTATGGCTAGGCTGTCTAGGGGTAAATTCGTTTTTCGGCGCGTAAAGGGCCATGGCAAACGCCAAGGGCTGCGCGACCAAAGTGATGCAGCTAGATGGGCTGAATTGTAGTGTCCTGGATCTTCAGGAACCACAACACAGCAGCCGCTGTTATGCATCTAGGTCTATTTGGAACATGTATGTATTGCGACGAACAGTGATGGCTAAGCAGGCGCATCAGCAAGGAAACATCGCGGCACAATGAGGGTCGCTTGCAAGTGCCGAAGGATGTCGTTTGAATAGCATTTGCCATGTGCATTGTGACATTGGACTTGCATTCCTGTAAGGCGACATACCAGTCCTTCTTGGAGGCAAGTGCAATGCCAGTGCCGCATCCACAGCTTGCAGATTTGGGTCACCCGCTGCGTCAAGAGATGTGGCAGGGAGGTGCAAATACAAAAGATGTCAATTCATGAGGAGACCGCCAGCCCTCCTTATGCGGGGCGTTAAACACTTCTGGCCTGGGCTCAGGAAATGCTCCATCAGAGCTGCTTTGATTGACCATGGCTGGGGCCTCATCCCGATGCAGCTGAAAAGTCATGCAATACAATCTAATGAAAGCAACTTCAGCAGTAGCCAAATTGAGATCGAAATACGGAGCCCTGTTGCGGTGGCAAAGGAATCCTCTACGGTGAGGCCGGTTTCGCACCACCTTTGGGCACGAGATTGTGGGTGGTGTGGGTGTGCCTGATGCACGTGTCGTCACGTGTCAGGTGGGCTATCGCGGCCGACAAGAAGCTGGACAAGGGGCTGAGGAATGAGACAATGAAAAAAGAAGCTTTTGGTTGCAGCTCGAGAGAGCATTGATGCGACGTTTTGCGAGGGAACTCTGCAAGCTTAGCGAATCCAACAAATGCAGGAAGCCTCTACCCTCGTTGGGGGGATTCATCCCCAAAAACGGGTTTCCATGGGCTTTTATTGTACATTCTGGTCCATGGTAGGTTTTTCCAAAGCGAGTGCCCCTGGACGTGAACATCATTTGGTCTATGGTGGATGCATTCCCAAACCGGGTGCCCATGGGCGCGTGTACTACCATTTTGGCATCAGGATTCGGGTCGAACTGTATGCAAAAAAAAGCATCTGGAGAATCAGGCAAGACATCTTGGAAACGGCTGGAATTTGACGTGGGCGCTTGTGCGCTTCTTGCGAACGGCAGTGCCCAAACGAGCCACATGATTTGAGAATGTGATTCACACATCTTGTATACTCTTGCTGAGTGCTAGGGATGATAGCGATGATTGAACTCTTGCATTCCGAAATTGCTTGGAATAATAATACTTGAGGTACTGGCAATACTCTCGTGCTTGCGGGATGTAAGAGTCGCGCACATTGTGTTGGACAATCACGAAGCCCGGTAAAATGATAAGGTGCAAAAAGAAACGATAAGGTTTTTGGGTGTTTCCGTGTTGTTTGTGCTGGAAAACGATAAGGTTTGGAGCATGGAATGCACGTATTGCTAGCATTTTGCTCAATCTTGTTTGCTCCCTTTCCGTCCTTCCTGTTCACAACCATGGCTTGGAGCATTGAGACCCGGGAGACAGCACCTCCTGGTTCTTCAGCCACATGCCGTTGTCCAGCCTCACTTTGTCCAGCTCCACTTCCGCCACGGCCACGAAGACTTTCTTGGGATCTTCCCCCCGGCCCCGATGAGGCGCAGCCCCGGCCACACCCTCATGCTCTGCGGGCAATTTTGGGTTGGCATAGAGAAATCACACAACGGGTCACGACGCTGAAAACGATAACAAAACGATAACAAAAACGATAACGCTTTTTGACAGAACCCATGCCCGTGAGGAGTTGCCCATTGAGAGGAACTTAGCCACTCTACCCTAGCTTTCCCTTTGATGTCTCCCGGCCATGGACAGCATGCTTGTCTCTTACGTTGGAACATGTCTTGGACTCTACGTTGGAACACATTATTGCAGTTGATGAGCGCAGGCTAGCCAAACAAATTGAAGCAAGCAAGCGCAAACGAAAAGCATGGAAGGAGCTTGCTGCTCGTGAGTCCGACGATGAAAGCCTTTGAAGCCACCATGAGAGCTGATGCGCGCAGTTGTCCAAAAATGCGCGAACCCCGGTAAAACGATAAGGTGCAAAGAATCGTTAAGGTTGAACATACATCTAATGTGTACAACGATAAACTTTGACGCAAAACCGATAAGAAAACACATGTGCAGCCCATTTCAATTGAGGTTTTGCCGCGGCCTCACTTGGTGCGTGTCCCTCGTTGGCCGAGCTTTGCTTCGCACTTTGAGATGCTACCCTAAGATAGCGTCGACCATCTCATCCAGCGCACCACCAAGCAGGAATCAGAATGGGATCAGGAATGTAAAAGTTCAAAACACAACGGCAAACACAGCAAGACGCTCTTGCCATAGGAAGACAACACGCAAGTGCCCTGCCTGCAATGGACATAGAGTCCAGCGATCGCTTGGGCGAATTAGAGAAGTCCTACAGCGACCTGGCTCAGCTGATGGCTTAGCATGCTGGAGCAGAGCTTGAAGCCAGCATTCAGTGTGTTACTTGCAAGTGACAGTGAGGAGATTACATCGACCAACCAATGTCAAGTACACGCTTTTGTGGGTGGCCTGGCCAGAATGGGAAGCAGAGCAGAGCAGACATTTCCAGAGCTAAAACTAGGACTTTGGCAATATCCTGCATTGCTGCATACCACGAGGCGTGTGTACTGTGGTGAAAGCACCAGCTTGCACTCGTGCTTGGCAATGGCTGGTGGCAGGACATGGCCCATCCCTGCTAGATCAGATCAGGACATTTTGCACAAATTGCCATTCCTGCTCAGCACCTTGCACCTGCAGCAGATTGCAAGAGACTTCATCACCTGACGGCACTGACGGCACCTGTTGCGCAAAGTCATGTGTTCTCTGTGACGCAGGAGCCTTTTCAAGCAAAAGCCCAGCGTTTGCTCTGCAACAGCGCGACAGGACCGCGGTGAGCTCGCGCGTGCATTGACAATGGTGTGACGCGCTCTCTTAGGAGTTGGGCAACCTGCGCCAGCAGGCATGAGATTGTCAGCCAAAATGGTTGCTTCTTCGCTGCCTGGCAAGGCAAACAAGCAACGCTGGACCTGTTGGGAGAGCGATGGGTCTGGTGTTGAAGTTGAGGCCATGGGATTAGGGAGTATTAGTTGACCTGCACGAAGCCGCGTGCTCGGAAAGTTTGTTTTTTGGCTTCGGATAGCAGGTTGCCATGCTCAGCGGTCGGTCCTGGAAGTTTGTCATTGGCAAATCGGCGAAGGCCATGGGTTTTGGTGCCGTTAGCGGCTTTCTGCATAGCATAGTGTCGCAAATACAATCACGCCAGGGGTCTGAAGTCAAGGAGCGGCTTGCTGGGCTGTCAGCTACGAAGAAGCCATCTCGCATGGACTGGTTGTGTTCATTAGGCCTTGATCAGGTCGGGCATCCACCTCACAGAGCTCTCTCTCCTTTGTGGCGGCGCTCAAGTGCAGGATGCGGAGGACTGGGTGACCGAATGCTGGGCAGGAGTAGCTGCGCAGCTCATTCGCCACATACCCCGCGTTGTGACTCAAGATGAATGCAATGATAGCTTTGCTTTCCGACAACTGGTCAAGCACTGGGTCCAGCATGGTCCAGCGAGCACATTGTAAGATAGCCGTTCGAAATTCAAGCATTGCCGCCAACTGTCACTCAACCATCACACAGATGTTAAGGTTCTTTCGTACTCACAGGTTCTGTTGACTGCCTTCGAGACGCATCTTCTTGGACCACCACCTCAGCTTCACCTGCTTCGAATTTTCAGGCTGGCGCCATGCTTGTTGAACACGTGCTTTTGGCCTTACTTGCTTGCCGTGGAAGTTGACAGCATCATGATTATCAATGACGTTGCTTTCGATTGGATGTAGCATTCGAGTATCATCCTCCATGTCAACTACAGGGCGATCCAGTCAACGTGGTGCATGGCCGAAAACCGAAAAGGCACGCTTTTAACGGCGTTTGCGCATGTCACAGTGCTACGATTTGATCACTGTAGCTTGGTTGAGCAAGAAGCCGGCACAGGGAAGTGGAACCAACAACCCAGCACTGAAGTATGAACGTATGTTGGGCACACGTGTCAGTTGCTGGAGTGTTGGACACGCGATCCTTTGGTCAGTTGGGTTTGCACTGAGCGTGATGAATAGCATCACTAGCCGAAACCTTCAGCGCAATTCAGAGTTGTGCCTGTTTGTGCGATGTCGTGCATATGTCATTATGCGGATGTCCAAGGCCCTTTGCACTGAGCTGCAGCACTGCCTGCAACTCAGCAACGTGCCAACTCGCACATTTGACGCACGAGACATGTTTCAACCCCCCCGCTTAGGATTGCTCTGTGAAGTTGTGGGACATGGACAAAGCAACCTGCGTCAGAGCCCGTGTACACTAGCTTACATGTTGCATCATGTTGTCATTCTTCACATGTTTGAGGTGCAAACGCTTCGAGGCCATGGCGATGGAGTCATGTCTGTTGCCGCAGATGCCTCAGTGCCAGTCATGCCAGTCATGCTGAAGGGAGCTGCTCTCGCGGCTATTTGAACAGGTCGATTGGAAGTCCAGATATGCTGTCAGCGGTTCCCACGCTTGCGCCTTACTCTGGGCGCGTTGCATGCTGATCCCAGCGCTGCATGTGCGTGTAGGACTGCACACTTCGTGTTTGGGACCTCGACCATGCCATTAGCGCTCTGGCCTTAGCATGCTCGGTGAGTGTGACAATCAGAAAATGCTTGCGGCAAGGTTTTTCTTTCAAGCCCGGGATTTCCGCTAAGGTACAACTGATACAGCTAGGAGACCATCCAGCCTTTTGCGCCTTGGCACCAGTGAGTTGGCGGAGTATACTGCAGGTAGCATTCTAATATTTCCGACAGCTCGAGGGTTGCCGTGCCCCCCGAATCCACCCTTGTCCTGCCCAGGGTTTTTGTTTAGCGTTCAGTTTCAGGGCGTGGATTTTGGGTTTAGAGTTTAAGTTTGGGGTTTAGGTTTAGGGTTCAGGTTTAGGGTGGGGTTTAGGTTTGGGGTTTTCTGGTTCAGGGTTCTGGTTTAGGGATTCGGTTTAGGGATTAGGTTTAGGTTTCAGGTTCAGGCTTTAAGTTTTCTAGGTTAGTTGCGTGACCCTCTGCAGGCAAGCTGCTGGTGTATGTCCTAGAAGCTCTCAAGAAGTATCGGCTAGCTTTGTCCGAACGGCACATTAAGCAGCCGCCTAGCGCTCGGCTATGACTAATTCGAGCACGTGGTTTCAGGCGGATTCGGTCTCTAAGAAGTCTAGGTTCGGGCGTTGGGGCGTTGCTTTGGGGCGCAGGCAACCCTCAGGGGCTGGCCGTAATATTTGGGATACATCATTTAGGAGGCAAGAGCTGTCTTTTTGCTTGATGCTATGCAGCATGCGGCAGCTCAGGTTTGGAGTTTGATCATTCTGCCCGCAGGATCTTGACAGGTGGACAATTGTCAGATCAAGTTCCATGCTTTAGGTATGCCAAGCACAAACGGCCAAAGAGACCGCCAGGTTCGTGGGACAAGAAAGCAAAGCTTTGGGATAGCGAAGTGGGCGTGCCTGAGCTGCACAGCACGTAACAAGCAGACTAGCGTTCGGATGCGGGGATTGCAGGAGTGCGTGGCTACCTTCAGTGGCCACGCTGGCATGGTGAAGGCTGTGAGGCGTTTCTGTGCGATCGAACTCTCACTTGTTTGCGTTGCTCTGTGCACGTCAGGCTGAACTGGCCACGTCGGCGAGCTCTCAGCGCCGCATGTGATGGTGGGGCCCCGACAGAGAAGCATCAGACGGCGAATGCTGACTCGTTCGCAGCCTTGCGACCAGGCACGGTGAAGCTATGGGATATTGACACCTTGCAGTGTCTTCGGACGCTGGATCATGGCGAGGAGGCGGGCCGATTTGTTGCTTATGGTTTTGGAGTTACGAGCGCTCCTGCCTCCAATCCCAAGCCCCCGACTGCTCGTTGGAAAGATCGCAGCTCTGTAATCAAACTGGCAGGTGTGGGCGGCTGATGTAGATTGGGACCAATCACGGGCCCTCAGTGGTTCCATGGACAGCTGCATTTGCAACTGGCTTCAACTCTCCAAAGTATCGTGAATTGCTTTTTGCCTTGTGGTCATCAGGACGCATCTCTAAGATACTGGGACCTCAGCACCGGCAAGTGTGGGCCTCTCAGGATACAGGGAATACTGGCAATCTATGCAGAAGAAAGTGACAGAAGCATTGTCCACCCAGGCTTAGCGGCGCTAAACGGCCACACTGATGCTGTTTCTTCCGTTTTTCTTCGGTGCTCAGAAGGCATCGGCAGTTTTGGACTTGCCCACAGTGCACTTGTTACACTTGTTGCACGATTCTCTCTCTCTCTCTCTCTCTCTCTCTCTCTCTCTCTCTCTCTCTCTCTCCGTTTGAAGGTCAAGCGCTGAGCGGCTCGTGGGACAAAACTGTAAGGCTCTGGGACCTGGCCGACTCTGCGTCACCCTCAGTTGAGTTTGCTTGGTTCCTTGCGCTAAAGTCGCTAAAGTGCCCAGGCCTGCATGGCTGTCATGGACAACCGCTGTGCCGTGATCTCCCAATTTCCACTTCACTATTGTTGTGCTCCACTTTACTCCCCAGGTGATCACAATGTCGGTGGATTGGATACATCAAGTTGCGCTGGCGGGTTCCAAAGAGGCGTGCATTTGCTTCCTTGATTTGCTGCTGAGTGTTGGGGTGACGCATCTTGAAGACTACGAAGCATCAGATTACGGACTCAGACTTGTCTAGCCCCACTGTGATTCATTTTCTGGATGAACTTGACCGCTCCAACCTATGACGCAACCCTGGAAGAATCGTTACCCATCCTTACCCATCCTGATTATTTGATCAATTGGTATCGCACATGATCTTGTTCGGGTGGACGTCGGGATTCGAGCTCCAACGAATTGAGGAGGAACGTGGTGTGCGGCATGATGAGGTCAGTATTGGCTGTATGACCATATTCGATAAAACAAGTGGATTCAGTGTTGCAGTAGCCCTGAGAACGGGTAGTCGGTTGATGTTGGTTGCTTTGCAGGCCATGAAGCTATGGCAGCTGCAGACGCGGACATGCAAACACGTCTTCGAGGGTCACTTGGACGACGACTCTCAGGCCTATGGTAGCGCCCGGCGACAGTAGGGTCTGGCCCGAAAACAAGTGCTACATGATCATCCAGCACCTCGCCAGATCATTTTGTGGATGAGTGTCGAAATGAACTTGGAGCCTCAAGAAGAGGGGCTTCCCGTCAAAGACTTCCTTTCAGTTGTCATATTGAGCCAACAAAGTCCCTGGTTTTGACGGACCCATAGATGCCCCCACTGTGGTTTCCATCAATTGCACTCTTTTAGCAGGTGGGGGATGCCATAGGCCTAAGACATTCAGCTCGAAGAATATACAATGGTTTATGAAGCCTCGTATTACCGCATATATCTATGGAATAGAGCAGGTCAAGATTTCAAGAGCATTGCAGGTGTCCTTCAGCGGCAGCCCCACCTCTGCCGCTCGGCAGCTGTGGCAGTTGTGAGTTGTGCATTGGCTTCTCTGGGTGGTTTTATGCATTCAGGAGAGGCATTGACAGAGAGAGAGAGAGAGAGAGCGAGAGCGAGACAACAATGTGCGCCGAGCCCACATACAGGACACAAGAACATTATGCTAGAGTCGACTTCGATTCAGCATGCAGTACACAAGGAAGCAGCTTGAATTGGCAGCAGGTGAGCGTTGGGCACAACGAGGCAGTCTCGTGTTTGGTGATCAACTCTCCGGAAAGTTCCTGCTCGGCAGATGAACAGTTCTGATCTTATTGCCTTCGGCAAGCCAGCGTGGCGTTGCCTTAATTTTCCCAGCAATCTTTTGTGGCGCACTGCCAACTGTCCAACCGCTTTTCAAGTTGTCCGGTTGTGATTGTGCCACCTTTTGGGTGACACGTTACATGCGTGCACGTTCCGAGAATTCGGACTGCTGGCCAAGCCACCTGTGGGTGGAAATTGTTTTTGTGCATAGTTGGGATTTGTTCAGAACGTCATCGTAGATGTCACGTCTGGGCAACTTTGCCATACCATGGTGCGCAGATCCCTCCTCGTCAATACCAGGCGTGTTTGATTGAGAAAAAGCAACATGCAGGACCAGACTTGAAGGGGGCCAGAGTCCGTGCGGCTTATTGTTCAATCACAGCCCTTGTCATCTTGGAGTTTGAATGCTTTTGTGTGTTGCGCGGCCCTTTTGTGTTGTGGCCCATCGAATCATGGTTGACGATGATTGATGTGTTTAGCAAATGTGAAATGTATATATATATATACATTATACATATATATATATATATATGTATTAATATATACAGCGGGATTGACAAAAAACCCTGCAGCTTTTCTAGTAAGGACTGACGAAGCATATAATATGTTTTGGTGTTATGGCGCTGTGGTCTCGGAAGACCGCGAAAGGGTAAGCGGGAGTTTCGTGGAAGGGTATGTACTATTACGGGATGAGGCCGTACTTGTGTACTTCACGTGTACTGAACAGTTGCGATGCTTGAGCTGGGGCCGCTGGTGTACTACGCTGGTGCTCAACAATTGCGACGTTCCATTTGAGCTGCTAAAGTGTACTTCGTGTACTGCTCTTGTACTGTGCTGAGAACGATGCCCCAAACGATGCCCGTGCGATCCCGAAACGATACCGCCCAGCACCTGGGGCAAGCTCGAGCTGCCGAACGGCCACCGAATATGATGCCAATTTTTGCGGTCCGAGTATTCCAGCTAACCCCTAGAGACGCGTCGGTCGACCTACATGGGGACTGATCTTGCAACCCCGCCATCTCTGGTGTGACCAGCTGTGGGCAGTTCGACGACTGGACCACGGCCTGCACAGGAGTAATGCGATTGAGAGAAGGGCAACGACTATATTGCTGATCAGCCGTGTCAGAGCCTGGTAGGCAATTGGTTTCGCAAGTGCCTGCTCCAGGAGTGCACATGATCAATCCTATGTTCAGTGCCATCTGCGGTAGTAGTAGTAGTAGTAGTAGTAGTAGTAGTAGTAGTAGTAGTAGTAGTAGTAGTAGTAGTAGTAGTAGTAGTAGTAGTAGTAGTAGTAGTAGTAAGGGGGATGACATGGGACACACTCACCAAAATACCATGGGGGTTTACACACCAATATCCAATACCAACTTTGGACATGAATATTGACTGTGGCTCATGGAGCCCTATGATTCTGCCCGGAAAATTGGCTCAGACTTGTAATTTGTTGCACGCTTTGCATGTCGGAGACTTTGCCTCTTGCCAGCAGGGTTACTGCACGACATGATGAGTAAGACGCGCATCTTTCATTGGAATTGATCAGAGAATCCCAGGTGAGGTCGTGGAACGCAGAGCAGATGGATGCGGGCAAGGGAGGCTCAAATGAGCATTTACAACATCCCTGTTTGATGATGTGCCACAATTTGCTCGCAGGGGATGTCAATGATGCGCCTGTCATGGACTGTGACTCCGGGGGAGCAAGCCTAAGACCCCGCATCGTCCAAGGTCGAAAAGCGAAATCCGTTGCAGCGACTTCGCCGCGCCATGACCAGTCAAACAAATGAGGCAGGATACTTCACAGCAAACTAGGGCGAACTAGGAAAGTTGTAAATCCGGATTGCAACTTTTCATGCCAGGATGGTGTTCGACGTCAGAGGAAAGGCACAACAAGCGGGCTTGTGTTGAATGGTTGATCTATGTGCATGCGTGTAGGCTCCTGGCCACTTTCAAAAAGACGTGCCCTTTGGGGCTGAATGCGGATGGTCAGCGACCCTTCATGGGATTTGAAGGATTGGCATGCCAAAGGTTTCAAGGTCTCTACCCAGAAAGTCACCGTGATCCACTCCTGGGGATTTTCGACTGTGTCACTTTGTTGTTTCCGCACAGGTAGCTTCAGTGGTGGGAGTGGTCCCAGCAATGGAGTCTTTCCGGACCCAGACTCGGTGAAGGAGGCGTCCGCCTTGGGCTTTCTGAAGTTTCAGCAACGTTCGGAACAAGATCAAATACGGCAATAAACATGAATAAACTTACACCTGAATGCTTTTTCCTTCTTTCAAAAAGAGGTGCTCGGCTTGCCGAGTTAGACCCGCTCCAGGCAGTCCGAGACTTCCTGGAGCAGAAGAAGTACAACGTGCACGACTTCTACAAAACAGTTCCCTGTTTGACACTGCCGCAAGTCATGGGCATTCCAATCCCATGATATTCCGTCGAGAGTATGTCTTGAGGTTTGATACGCTTGACCTTGAAAGCCTTTCAAGCTGCGTTCAGAACCCGGTCCCACTGCTCAGGAGGGTTTCTGCCAGCAGGTAGCGCGCAGCTCAATCTTTGATCATATTACGCGGCTAGCCTGCAGTAGAGTAAACACAAAGGATGCATTTGCCGCATATGCCTGTTTTATTATGTTGTTTGTTGACAGGCTTTTTATGATCATTTTCAATGCTGTGTGGATTGCCGTGGACACGGACAACAATGATGCAGCGCTGCTCATACACGCCTTGCCAGTATTTCAAGCTATGGAGATGCTTGGTAAAACTGCGACCAACATAAATACATTCATATCCAGCGTTTGTTGTGTTAGTACTGTGCAGTATGTGTGGATTTCAGCTTTCAACATGGCTAGCACGTGAGTTGTCTATCATGGACTGACATTGACAGTGCAAACAATGCTTGCTTGAAGACAACGAGGAACGTGTTTTGCGCTTCTTGGCAGCAGCTTGTGACGGTGAAGCGAAGCTATGATTGCTTCATGAACAATTGACACTCGGACAACACAATCACGTGTTTGAGGGCTTTGGAAGGCTTTCAATTTCTGAGTTGCCCCATGCGCGGGTCGAGCCCTGAATTGCCCCAAGGTTTATTTCACCATGGAGTTGATCATCCGCTACATGTCATTTCGGTCAGCAGCTGAGTGCGGTGGGGTGGCCAGCGCACCGGCGCGCACCGGCATGGGAGAGATTTGAGATGTCAGGCGCTCTTGGGATGCATTCAGAGATTTCTGGTCATAGTCTTAGTGCTGCGCGATTGTCTTGCTGACACTGCCAGTATATACTGACATGCAGTGAAGATGGAAGGCCTTCAATGCGAGGTTTGTATTTGATACTGTGATCGTAGTCTTCATGATTTTCGAGTCGGGGCCTGTGACAGCCGAGAGTGTCGCTGCCTACAATGTACAGTGTGGCTGGTTTGCAGTCATTGCTTTCAGGACTTGGATTATCACAATTCTTCTTGCAGCCTTTGAAGGACTGCTGCCATGACTATTCCAGCACGTTTAAAGAAATTCTCGCACGCGAGATTGGGAGGCGCAGACAGATGCACAACTTCAGTGTGCTTGAGGATTCATGCTTCAGAACTCTCCGATTCTGGGGCTTGTTCGACTGCTGCGGCTGTTTCGCATGACGCGAGTAGCAAGCTCCTCAGATTTGCTTGCTCGATTATTCGGCTTAGCTGAGTATTGAGGGTCTTGCTTGGATCACAAAGCTCCTCGACTTGTTGGCAATTGCACGGTGCAGGTGCGGGTCTTGAAGGCTGTTCCAGAGCTGATGATTCTATTGAAAGGCATGCTGGCCGCCGACCTCCTAGCGCCTAAGGGTTCAGAAAGATTGAGCGAGGGTCACAACGCCGACCAATAAGCATGACCAGGTATTACGATATTACAGCATATTGCACATATGACTGTGACAGGTATTGCTACGTAGTCATAAGTATGTAAGTTGCGGAAGCCAGCGCAGAGCTTGACATTGGAAGGCAGCTTCTGTTTCTTGCATGTGCTTGCCAGCCAAGGCGATGAGATCAGTCCTAGTGACGCTGGGACTGCTGATGATAGTGACCTACGCTTCGCCCTTAGTTGTGGGGAGCTGTATGCGTGAGAACATGTGCTTGCAAATTGTGTTTGTGCGTATGCGTTTACCTACACCTGTATGTATAGCATGTGTGACTGCCCCGGATGCTTGTGCACAACATCTTGTATTGACTGCTTTCAATGTGAGTCCGTGCAAGGTCTACGCGATTGCCTTTACGGCTCTTTCCAAGGAGACCTTTCACGCTGAACTTTGTGTGCCGCATTCCATTGAGCAGGAGTACCAATTTGCTCAGACATATTTCCGTGATGTACCAGTGCCGTGGTGTGAATTCGACACCAAAAATGTGCATCTCAGCCACAGAGAGTAGCTAAGGCATCAATGTTTACTTGTATCGTCAGAGGTGCTCTCCTTGACGAGGTGTGACTCACCGGTTGTTCTCAACCTCGAGTTGTTGTCATCCATGTTTGGCTGATCTGGCAAACGGTGTCCTCTTTGTGTTTTGTCAAATCCAACTTGAAATGAGGCGTTGCAATGAAAGCACGCATCCATGCGAGATGTCAAGCCAAGAGGGGCTTTGCAGGTTTCGGCGTTGTTGGATGATGTGGGCCGGGAAAGCGGGGCAGTGGTAGCACTGTTCCTCTCCTATGCCCCTTGTCCAGAACCGATCAACATGATATCAAGATTATCAAGTCACGCGCCGGGCCAGGGCTTCAACACTGCTTCTGCCGTTTTGCCTTGCCAAGGTATTGATAGCAGCAGCCACCCCGACACGCTTTCTTTTAATTTGTGCGGAGTACCGGGTTGAATGCGTTTGACAGGTTACAGTGATGAATCTGCTGATCGGTGTCCTTTGTGAGGCCTCGATCTTAAGCTTCAGGATTCAGAAGGGCGTGTGTTGAGCTCTGTTTTACTTTGTTTTTCCGGTAACGTAATGTGCTTGGTTGAGCTTGTATGTTGGGTGCTAATATGTGTATGAAGTATATGGGGGGGAGGTATATGAGTGTAGATGACTTTGAGCACAGGATGACTACAGAAACTATCTTGCTGGAACTGAGGAGAGAGGATGATAGTAGGTGTTTCAACATGTCAGTTTTGCTGAGTTTGCTGGCTGTTTGTTCAAGTTCATACATGGTGCATGTTGATGTTCATGTCCAGAAACTAGTAATACACTAGATGGAGTATAAGAGTTGGGAAACGGCATGAAAGTGACAGTTCTGGACGCCCTTAAACCGTAGATCAGGAAGTTGCCCATTTGAAATTGAATTTGATCCCAGTTTCAACTTTCAACCTTAATACTTGCTTTTTCTAAAGGCACAAGAAAATACAGCCTATATTTGAATTTCAATAGATGTTACCCACAATGATGACTGAATCGAATTAGATAAGCAACTCATAACTGAGATAGCTGCTTTGCAAATTTGATTCACATGAAACTTGATTAGAATGTAAATGGGTTTATGTAAAGAGAACTGAGCTACAATGTAAATGCAACTGCGCAAGGACATGAAGCACTTTTGTACTTGGTTTGGAATTCAGTTCCAAGTGGAATCAGTTCCTCCCCCCCCCCCCCCCGCCCAATTTGATGATCTGATGATGTTCCTGCCAAATAAAACTATGGCTTCTGTTTGCTGTGGCACGTTGCCAAAGTGTACTTCGCGTACTACTCTTGGGCTGAAAAGTTATGCTCCCGAGCTGGAGCTGCCAAAGCGCACCTAAGATATGCTTCTGAGGCACATCTTTTGCATCATGTCACTTCATCTCAGAGCACCAAGGCATTTGTCATCCCCAGTTTGGCCAGAAACCTGAGTACTTCAAGGGGGGAGGTAGAGTGTATGTAGATATATATATATATATATATTGTGTTTTTTGTTTATGAGATTTACAAATACGTATGTATACATCTTCCTGCGCCTACCATTCGTTTCAGGTTATCTCGGCATGTTGCTTGTATTTAAAATAACATGGCTTGCTGTTGTCAAAACCGCAAGCCAACCAGAGAATCTATTTTTTTAAGCCCAAGCCTATCTGGCTAGGCGCCTGCTCTGGCTCCATCGGTTGTCGCTCATGCTTGTGTTTATTGCTTCTGAAAGGGGTGCATCCTGGGACGGTGGAGCCGAGCCTCAGTGCTGGTACTCTCTCCTGGTAAGTTGTTTGGTCGCCAGCATGTTCATTCAAATTTGCTGATCCGGCCGAACTGGGGGATTGATGCACTTAGACTTGAACACGGATTAAGCGCTGGCACGATTTGCTTCTTAGGTGCGATGTGTGTGTGTGTGTTGCGTTTCTTTGGTCGACAAGTTGTTCCTTGGCTCCACCCAGCTTTGTGTTTGGCATGCAACACCTTGAGGTGGTAGGTCTCGTGGCAACCGTGGAACGCGAAGAGCTTCAGATCAGCTTTGTGCAGGCGGTGTGTGTGTGTGCGCGCGAAAGCACGATGAAGGACCTCAGAGCCAGGTTCAGTCAATGGCACAAATGTCCCTTCGAGTGGCCTTTGCCATCCTTTGCCTGGACAGGCCCAACTCGAAAAGATGGTTGCAGCGGTGGATTTGGATGGAAATGGAGACTTGGACAGTCAGTTGTGTGCCTTCTCAAACAAATAAACTACCGTCAAAACTACGGCCATCGTTAAGGAATGATCTCCCAGCATGAGATGAAGATGATTCTGCAAAGCAAGGAAGGTGTTCGGGCCTTGCACTCTGCCGTAGGCTCAGAAGCTGTATGATCAAGCACAATAGTTTCAACTTTACAGACAAGTCGGCTGAATGCGGCCCCGCGTTGAGTCTTTGCATTGTTCGCTTGGCAGACCATCAGCGTCAGCCAAGGTGGGTGTGGATCCAGTGAGCCTGGTCGACCTGGCTGACGTGTTGTTTCCTCTGCGAGAAGGAAGGGCGGCCAACAATCAGCAACCAATGATGATTGAATGAGGAAAGAGGCGTGATGCCGGTAATTGATAGCTCTCCAGGTCAGCACGAGGAGGAAAGACAGGAAATGTCATTCTCGCAGTTCATGCGTGAGTTGCTGCTTGTTTGCCAAGTCAGATGCATCATGCCTAGCTTCAACAGAGCTCGCAGTGCTTGCACGCCCATCCAGAAGCAAGGCTTCTTCTGCGTGGACAGAACACTGCAACAGCAGCTCTGCTTTGGGTTATCATCAGCAGAGAGCCACATTCGATTTCTCAGGTCAAAGATATGATCACTCTGCGCAAAGTCCTGAAGGCGCAGCAAGAGGACATGCTGCAAGCTGTGCACAAGCTGCTTGACACGAGATGCGGAAAGGGAGACCAGGGTCGGGCCAGGGTAGAACATGCCATGCTTGGTGGACAAATAGCCACTGCGTCTCGTTCTCTGAGTTTGAAGTGTTCTGCTTTTGCCGCTTGAGGTTGGAATCTTCTGTACCTCGGCAATGCGTTGATGTCTTTCTGCAAGGCTTTGTTGACTCTGTGCACAACTTTCCAGCCACATGACAGGTGCTGCAGGCACTTGGCAGCAACCCGCCAAAAGAAGCCCAGGACACAGCCCGAAAGAGGAACTGAGAGCTGACGTAGGGATCGAGTGGCAGCAGTGAGCCGTTGATGCTGCCGTCATGAGGCCGCACTGCCACGATTCTCCAAAGGCAAGGAAGTTCTGGGACCTTGGCTGCCGGGCTCTCAAAAGCATTTACAGTAGAGCCGAGTGCCGAATGCATTTTACAAAGCAGTCACGGACCAGCCTCATGGACGGCTGATTGGCAGACTCTGAATGTGGAAAGGCAAAACAGAACTTATATTTTACAGACCATCGGGCTTGACTGCGACTGCTTGCGAGCTTCTCAGACTCGGCACAGCAGGCCGGATGAGCGAACGGCGCCCATCAGGCCTAGCATGCAGCTGCCCAAGTGACGTGTCAGGTGACGCGGAAGTCACGTTTTTGATTGCATGTCCCACTGACAACTAACTGTTTGCAGGGGCTTAAGAGCGCAGCAATTTGCGAGGCCAAGGTTTACGGCGACAGACGTCGGAAAGTCCTTAGAGGATGACCTCTCGCCACTTGGCTGCAATAGGATTTCAGGCAAATTGCTCTCGTGAAGCTTGTGCCAATGCTTGTGCAGCAATTAGACCTGGTGAACGTGACTGAGGCAGAAAATGCAGGAACTGCTTTGGGCCCAGGATTGAGCTTTGCTGGCTGGGACAGGCTTTTCTAGTAGATGATTTAGCATACGCGGCAGACTTAATGGATTCTGCTGTTTTTTGTAGAATGTTTTGCCCTGATTGTACTTAGTTGCTCATGGCAACCCCTAGTCAAAACAGACAGAGTTGCCTAGCGGACTTTCACTGGCGATTTGTTTCTATGCCAATGTTTTCCTAGCAGTTTGGCCACGTGCTATCGTGAAATGAGGTGCATCCGAAAGAGCAATGCACGCTGTGAAAAGCATTGTGTATTTTGAACGTGTGACTTTTGTTTGAGCTATCTTTGCACATTTGTACTCCTGACAGTCATAGGGAGGAGTTGCGCTGCGTGATTGCAGACAGATCAAAGGGCGCAAGAGGCACCCAGCCCAGTTTACTTCCGTTCACTTCCGAGAAGAGCTGGGAGCAGAGTCGGGCAACTCACAAAACGATCACGAGGGGTCATCAGGGTGGGAATAGTTGTGCAGACAGACCACGTGCCACATGTGTGTTCATGGCGACATCATGTCAGTTCACTGATAGCTTTTGCTTCTCAGGCGTGATCTGCTGGACACACTGTTGCCCAGGACCAGTCCTTGGTAAGCCTGGTAAGCGCTTCTTTCAGCGCGACGTTCTGTCAGGCAGGACAAGCCATCTCCATCTGGGCAGTTGGCCATAGTCCTAGTCCCATGAATCCTTCAAAGAATGGGCAGGCTCGTCAATCGGAGTCATCCAAGGAATGCCCAGAGCACAAGGTTCTTCGGTCTGCTGGCATCGGTGAACACTCGGAAGCTCAGGTTCAGGCATGCTCGTGTTTTAATTGGTTTGGTCGAAGTGAGTGCTGCTTTCATGCAGCTTGACAGGTCACTCAGGTGACTCCGGTGCTCAGCAAGGACCTGGACAAAGCTTCGACACTCTCGTTCAGAGCAGCTCGTGCTTTCATGGCTGAGCATCTTTGTTTTCTGGTGTGGGCAGGAGATATCATCATCACGCCTTTCCGAACGCGGTCACGAAGACCTTGCAGACCTTACCTCTGCATCTGGAGATTTGCCGGGAATGGAGGACGCCTTGGCAACCAATGTGCAGCCTACGGCCATTGATCAATGCGCGAGCAAGTCGTTGTGTGCTTGCGTAGCGCTGTGAGATGTTGCGTGTTGCCTTTGCTTGCTTGAGTCTCATTTTTTTCCGGCGGCTTGGTAGAGGTACAGGGGGGGGAGAAAAAACGAGCCTCAACATCTTGGCTTGTGTTGGCAGGAGCTGGAAGCTTTGGAAAAGGTGCTCTCTTGCAAGCCTGTCCAGGTGCAATGCGTTGTTATTTTTCTCGGCTTGCCAAAATCCTTTTGGCAAGGACATCAAGGTAGACGCTTCGAAGCGCTTGCCGGGCAGCCTCGCAGAGGCGCAATGCCAAGTCAAGCGAGCTGCGTAGATCGCGACACTATGTTTCACTGTGACCTCCAGGATCGGGCAGATTGAATATTCTGGGCGAACGCCTCCAACGAGAAGCCGATGTTTTGGTGTACTGAAGTTAATGCCGCATCTGCGTCTGCAAGGCTTGCAAACTGGCTTGCCAAAGGCAAGCAGCAACAGTTGCCGATTACGTGGGCCCGAAGGGTGCACGGTAGTGAGCCATCTTTTTTTCCCACGCGTGTCACACACGAATCTCGGGAATGCTGCGTTGGAGCCGTGCCACGAAATCAAAATCCTAGCTGGATTGTGCAGGATCCACAGCAAGCGCCCCATCACAACCGTTACCTTTTCGGCTTCAGACGTGTCTCGACCAACGACAAGCGTCGGTGCTGTCATTGTCCATACATACCAGCTGCAAGGGTTTTTTGAGTGGGTTTCACAGCACAAGGCTTGACAAGTCAGAGGGTTTTACCCAAGTGTTGCATGCGGGAGTCCATGGAATATATTGAGCCAGGCTGGGGCCCGACTTTTAGCTTGAGCCGAAGATCAAATTTGCCGAAGTGCAACGATAACAAAGCGTTTAGTGATGTGTGCTTACAGGGTGGCTGGGAAGGCACGCCACACACGATGTGTTTGTGAACCACCTGAATCAAGGTTCCACCGTTGCGACTTCGCTTACAAGGGAACTTGGGCTTTTCCTAACTCGGGTCGTCAAGCTGGCTGCCGGCCAGCGCGTCGCCCAGGAGCATCTCACCAGCTTTCATGGTGGGCTCTGCACTTGCGCGGGTAAAGATCAAAAGCATGTCAACGGAACCCTCTGCCACAATGGCTTTCTTGTGATTCTTGTGTGTGTGTGTGTGGGGGTGCGCGCGTGTGCGCCCGCGTGCGCGTGTACCCAGTGTTCCTAAGGGGCTTTTCGGTGTCCCTTTCTTCCAGTTTTTCGGAGACGGGTGCCACCATGGTGAACAACGGCGTGAAGCACTGACAGCTGGGTGATGGCACTCCGTTGAGGAGGATGCCCACTGTCGGGAAAGACGACCCGAGTGAGCCATGCCGAAACTCCAACCTGATTCCGTGCCTGTGATTTCTTACTTTTCGGGATGCGCCTCGCGGGTGTACTGTCTCCCATGTGTGTGTGTGTGTGGGTGTGTGTGTGTGTGTGTGTGGGTGTGCGTGGGTGTGCGTGTGGGTGTGCGTGTGCGTACGCGTGTGCGTGTTCGCGCGCGTGCGCGTGCGCCTGCGCCTGCGTGTGTGGGTGTGGGTTTGGGTGTGGGTGCGTGTGTGTGTGTGTGTGCGTACGCGTGTGCGTGCGCGTGTGTGTGTGTGCGCGCGCGCCCGTGCGTGTCCGTGCTTGCGCGTGCTCGCGCGCGCGCGCGTGTGCGCGCGTGCGCGCGTTTGTATCTGTGTGTGCGTGTGTGCATGTGCGTGTGTGTCTGTGTGTGTGTGTCTGTGGTTGCGTGTCTGTGCGTGTGTCAGTATGCGCGTGGTGTGTTTGTGCGTGCGTTGGTTTGAGTGTGTGAATGTTTGTGTGTGTGCGCGTGCGCGTGTTTGCGTGCGCGCGCTTGCGTGTGTAGGCGTGTTGTGGGTGGGTGTGTTTCTGCGTGCCTGCCTGCCTGCTCGCCCGCCCGCCTGCCTTTGTTTAATTGTTTGTTTGTTTGTTTTGTTTTGTTTTGTTTTGTTTTTTTGTGTGTTGGTCTTTGATATGTGTGCAGAAGGGCATATGCTCATGTATTTGCACGCGAGCATGGCGGGTTGGCGCTTTGCAGCAAAACGCAGCCTGTCACCAGCTAATCAAGCCCACTTGCTGAGTACGTTCGTTGCTGGAAACAACTTCAGTATGCCATACCCCTCTTTGTTTATGGCAAGGAATTCCACTTGCCGTCTCGCCTTGAGACCGAAGCCGTAGCGGCAGCCGCGCAAGCATTGCTGCGCTGCTGGCTAAGTTGTAAACCAAAAATGGCTTTCTAAACGCAGAGACCCTCAAAAAAGAGTTGTTTTTTTCTCCTTCTGCAAACACCAGCCAACAGCAAGGCTGCAGTTTGTGGGCGAAACACGCGGAGCCTGCTGGCAAACATGACGAACAGGAAGCACCAACTTTGGAACAAAACCAGCTGGCTGCTATGGAACATGGACTTGGCGTCCTGAACAAATTCCGGCCGCACACAGACATGTCGCCCTCAAAGACTTCAGAGCCTGCGAAGCGTTCCCGACAGGCTGCTTTCCACTTCATCAAAGCAAACGTTTGCTCCATCCCAATCTCCCTTTTTGACTGGTCTGAATTCCTTATCATAGACAAAGAGGGGTATGGCATACTGAAGTTGTTTCTAGCAACGAACGCACTCAGCAAGTGGGCTTTGATTTGTTGATGACAGGCTGCGTTTTGCAGCAAAGTGCCAACCCGGAGCATGGGTGGTAAATTACATTCTTGGTGGCTTTGTTGGTTTTGGCGCTTCCTATCGTTGGAGATGCGATTTCCTGGCAGAGCTTACCAATTCCATGTGTTTTTGTTCAGTCAAAGTTCTCAGAGCTTCTACTAGCAGGATTTCAGTTTGTCCATCTCATTGGTAAAAGCAGTATGTTTGAATAAGTGTTGTTGCTGCCTTCTTGCTTGTTTATTTTGCCACGCGATCAAGTAAAAAAATAAACCGATTTTCAGAGTGGCGCTGTGGGGATGACATCTCTTGGCAGCGAAAGTGCGCAACATATTTGGCGACAGCCAGCTGACGCATAAGGAATATTTGAACTGCTGAAACAATACTGCAAACTATCGCTTTGAGTTCAGCATGTGCAACTTCTATGTTTATCAACTGCCGATGTTGGAGCTGGTTTATGAGAAATTATGCTTGTCCCTTGTTCTCTGGATCTCGTAATGAAAGGAGTGACCGGTAGATTCAAGTCTCTAACAGAGGAGCTGAGGAAGGGTAAGGTCTTAGCTCTTGAGTATTGCTGCGAGCGGCAACTCATCTGCGTGTGATGCACACAGCAAGCCGAACGATCGAGAGTAATTCCAGCGAGCTTTGAATGGCAGCATTTGAGCATGTTGAAATGCCGGACAATTTCAAAGAGGCCTTGAGCGGAAGGTTTTGCCCGGTTCAGGTGCACGTGCTGCCGCAACGCTCCTTGTCAAGCCCTGCCCAGAATGAAATTCGTGTTAGATGTGTGTTACTTTAACTGTTTTACTGGCCAGTCAGCGTTGTGCAAGTGGCACACAACAGGTCATCTGCCAAAGCTAGTAGTTGGCAGAGTTTTAACACACTACAGTAGGTGATGCTGGATGGCTTTTGGCAAGAGAGCTCTAAGAGTGCTCTCCCATATCTATATGTGTGTCCTCTTCAGAGTTTGCACAAATGATGTGTCAAGCTTTGCAAAACATCACACAAGCAGCAAGCAGTACTACCAACAACATCAACAACCATGGCAGGTGCAGACGCAGCAACCGCAGACAAGGATTGCAACAGCTAGTACATGCCGAGATTGGCCACAGCGTTGGCAGTCTCATCATCTCCTGGCACGTGAGTCGTAGCAAAGGTTGCGCGCTGCCACTGATAAAGTCACTCATGTCGCAACATGCTCAGGATCCTCATGATGCTGCTTCTTTTGTTGATATTATTTACACATCCACTTCAACCTGATACGAGCCGGTTGTTGCTGCGATTGGCTCTCGTGTGAAAAATCCTCGCGTTTCACAACCCACCGAACCCTGGGTCTGCTGGGATGGCTGGGTATGGCTGTGCACGCATGCTACGATGCGCAGCGGTGCATTGGCTTCGTTGGCCAGGGCACTAACATGGGAGAAGTTTTTGAGCCCGAGCCCAAGCCCAGCAAATCGGAGCAGAACTCGCATACCTCTGGCAGAGAGAGAACCGCTTGGCTTGCCTAGCTGGAATCGAAGCGCTGAAGCGAGTCACCTGTCGAAGCTTTTGCCATTCAAGCTTCCAGGTCATCGCCATCGCGTGTCAGTCGACTCATTTCAGGCCAGCGCAAAGAGTGTGGATTGCTGCACAGTGTGGGGAGGTCAAGGTTGTCAGATTGCCTTCACTGGCAAGCCGGCACAGTGATGTGAGAGTGCTCATTCACTAGGCACATCACCATCTCCTTTGCTGCCCAGAGAGGTCAGCTGCGAGTCGCCTTCAAGTTCAAAACGAACCATCGATTGAAAGATGTTTGAGGTCGTCGTTTAAGGTCTGAGGGAAGTCCCTGGGAGCGCGAAAGGTATGACTTAGGCATGACCTAGCCGGTTGCCTATTCCCCATTGTCATAGCGGCAATACAAAGTGCAGTGCCACGCGTGAAATTGAGTTCTATGCATCTGCGACCACAGTCACAGATCGAGCCAGGAGGCAAAAGTGTCGCCGGATCACAGCAATGTGAAGAAGCCAAGCCAAGGCGTGTGGACATGCGAAGCTCACGAGCCTCGCGGACAAAAAGAACATTGGCAACCATGCACTGACAGGTTCTGCCCCAGGCACTCCTCAGGCCAAGCCAGTGGCACAGGCAACGGGCAAATGTCAGTAGCTATGCACTGTGTGATTGCTAGCACCTGCCTTTGGAAGTATGGCTGCAAATCCTGGCATGCTGCAGGATTCGCCAAAAGGCTGGGTCGGAGAGCAGAGCTGCATTTTTGTCACGTGTTTGCTGCAAGAATCTGCAAGATGACAAGTCGTGCAGGCAGAGCCATGCTTCAGCAACTTCGATCCACCAAGGCTTCCTGCGTGTGGCTTGCAGCAAGCACTGCCACACCTGCCAGGTTTTGCCTCAAGGCTGGAGCGGGTATGGTCCAGGAAGGCAGCGTGCCACCATCGCGTGCCACATGCCCAGTCAGGTGATCCTTTCCGGCGCCCGACCGCGAGCCTTTCACTTCAGGACGGGGCATCATGTCTTGGCTATTGGGACAACCAAAGCTTTGTCTGTAAATCAGCGATGGACACTGCACGGTTTGAATGGTTGAAGGAAGAGTTTCTAAATGAAACTCACGCCCTGCCACTTATTTGTCTGAGAGGCTCGATCGGGTGCTTATGCACGACATTGCTTTTCCCACCATGGCTGGGGTTGCAAAGGAGAAGATTCTCCTGCAACGTCATGTCCTTGCTCAGGCACCCATCGCAAGCATGCCATTTTGGCGTTGCAGCAATGCACAGGCAGCTGCAAAATCTGCTTCGAAATGTGGTGCATTGCTCAGAATCGGTAGCCTTGGCTTCAAGCTAAGGACCCCAGGAATCCTCATTTGTTGCCTTCGTCAAATTCAGCTGCAATCAACAGTTTGGAGGCATGCAGATGCAGAGTCCTGTGATTGCGCAGAGTGACCGAGAGAGCTGTTGGGCAGCTGAGCATAATAAGGTGCAGGACAGGTGCAGGAGGCCTTCACTTGCAAGCACAAGCTATGCGGGTTGCTTGTGTTCAAAGACATTTTCATGGACGAGGTAGCAACTCCTACCCGGGGATCACCTCAGCAAAGACCGATGTCTCCAATGAGGCAGTTCGCTTGTGCATTGGCTGGACGGATGGAGACGGGGTGTGCGGAATTTCCGACGCGCCAGTCGCCCGAGCGGCGGCTCAGCACAGTTTGGTGCGTTTGGCTTGGAGCTCCCAGTCGGCAAGGCCTCTGAGTTTCATGTCGCTTGGGAACAAAAGCGCTGAGTCTTGCGGTCTTGCAAGTGGAGACTTTCCGCATTACCTGTTTTGATTGATGCGTTCCATGTGATTGGATTCCCATGCCACGACCTCAGCCTGAAACCTGAGAGGCGAGTCCAACGAATCGCAGGCAGGAGCACACCAATGCTTCAAGTACTCAGTGATTCGGGTGCGTCCCGGTCGGGCAGAATCCGCAGACATGACTGCTGCGAGAGCTGCAGCTTGCGAAGGACCAGAAGACAAGGTTTTCAACTGTTTAAACGCTACGATCCATTCTTAGACATCCTCAAAGTCTTGAAGTACCAATTCGTGCCCTTCCCAAAAGTATCGATGGCAACAGACGGACCGACAGAGGCAGACAAGCAGGCGGAGAGGCCTGCAGGCAGGCAGGCAGGCAGGCAGGCAGGCAGGCAGGCAGGCAGGCAGGCAGGCAGGCAGGCAGGCAGAGAGAGAGAGACAGACAGAGAAGCAGAGACGCACACAGAGATAGACAGAGAAAGGCAGAGACAGAGGCAGAGACAGACAGAGGCCCAACAGAGAAAGGCAGACAGAGACAGAGACATTTGTGAGAGACACAGCAGACACACACACACACAGCCAGGCAGACAGGCAGACAGAGAGAGAGAGAGAGCGAGAAAGACAGAAAAATATTGATGGCAGAGAGCACAGACAGCGACAGAGACAGACAGACGGAGACAGAGCGAAAGTCAGACAGAGACAGAGAGACTGAGAGACAGAGACAGAGAGACAGCCAGCCAGCAAGACACGCAGACACGCGGACACAGACACAGACACAGACAGACATAGACGCAGACTCAAACTGCATTCAGAGATATTCAGGGACACACACACACACATGCAGCTTCATGGCATGTTTTCACTTCGCACTGTTTGCAGTGTAATCCTTTGGGAGCACCCTCAGCCAAGTATTGTTGTTGGACAAGTGGCAACGGAAGAAGTTTTGTCGTACCCATCTTAGATCTTGGCTCCTCATATGAGGGGCATCATTGTGAATCTTTGTAGGCCTGCAGCATCTGTGGAAGTCACGCCTCCTGGGACCACCGCGTTTGCAGATGTCCAGACCTCAAGCTGAGAGTGGCACAGGTCTTGCCAAGTAGGCTTCCTTGGGCTTCAATGCGTGCACCTGCGTAGACGCAAAGTGAAGCGAATGCGCGATCTATCCGACAAGGAATCCTTGCAAAACGGCAAGACGTGCTCGGCGCCGTCATCCCCCGCAGCAGCCCAGTCGGGCACTTGACATTGGCGTCTTCAAGCAGAGCCTTTTGGACTTGCCCAGGCTTTGCAGTTCCCGGATGGCTGCAGCAGGCAAGCCCAACGGTCAACTGGCAGCGAAGGCGGCCTTTGCATGTGATAAAGGACACACCAGGACAGCCAGCATTTGAGTGGAGAGTGCGGGACTTCGAGTCTTTGTCCATGCAGGTGAGCGGACCTCGACCGATGCCGGAGACAGCGTGGGCAGGCGAGAACGACTCGAGGCCTGAATGCATTGACGCTGTATGTTCTGCTTACATTGTTCAAGCAGTTCAACAAACAAGTACTTTGCCAGCACCATTCTATTGCACATGTCAGGCCAGCGCGCCTTTGCGAAGGCGTCACGGTCAAAATTGGTGACACACGGCCGTGGCCACAGAGGGTTGGGTGGGCAGCAGTTTATCAAATCTCTCGCTTTTCAAGAGGCGCACCTAGAAAGGACCTCACTCGAGCTCTCAGCTTCCCAAATCTCAATGTCGCCCAATACTTGGCAACGTAGTATTCCAATACAAGAACATGTCATACCGAAAACACGTGATATGGTATGTTTGCGATGCTTTTCTCTCAATTTACTTGTCAAGTATTAGTTCTATTGGGTCAGTCTTTCGAACGCATGTGTGTGTGTGTGGAATAGGCAGAGGCCGCTGCTGCAACGCTAGCTTAGCAGACACGAAGGAAAAAAAAAAAAACGCGGCTTGCTCATAGGCTAAACAAACAGCCTTTCTTTTGGCCGTCATGTACCTCAGTCAGAACTTTACCAGCAGCGAGCGCTTTGGAGCGTTCCTGGTCTGCCACATCCAGCGGCAACACAGTCTTGCAGCTATCTTGGGGCTGGGTCATGGCGCGGCGCAGGGGCAACCGCTGGCTCTAGTGGGACAGGAGCCGGTGGTCGCGGAGGATATGGAGTTTGTGGCTGCGGTTGACGGATGCGCGCGTGGCCCTCGTTGGCCGACCGAGGGCGGTCATGAGTACCTGAACGAGCAGAGACTGGAAGAGCGTTCGATGAAGCCGTCTTCAACTGGCCAATCCGTCTCTGAGTTCTGGGACGGCAGGGCTGATGATCATGAGTGCGAAATCTCTCCGCCACCTATCTTCGCCTCCGTTTCCGTCGTCGCTCCCTAGCTCTTGAATCGCGGCTGCGAGGACACGAGGAAAAAAGGGAACGGACCCCCTTCAAGGGTTGTCTCTTGACTGGCAGTTTAATCCTGGATTTTGGCCGTGAGGGAAGGGCTTTGTGAGCGAACGAAGGTAGCCACCTGTCCGCTCTCTTGCATACCCACTCACTCTTCGCTTGCTTTGCCTGGCATGCGATTACAAGAGCTGACAGGTCAGGCATTTAGAACGGCAGGGCAGACATCTGAAGTAAGACATGCGAACCTGGCAGAGATAGTTACACAAAAGGAATGCAGAGAGAAACAGCACACCCGCGCAGAGACAAGATCAACGAAGCCACGGGAACAAAGAAGAAGAAGAAGAAGGGCAACCGGGATCGCACCCAATCGGAAAGAAGGAATGCCGAGGACGGGAAAGACGCGTGATAAGACAAAGGAGGAACGAAAACAAAAGCAGGACGTCTGCCCGATGCAGATTTTGCAGCCAAAGGAAGAAGAATGAAAGCGAAGGGACAAATGCAGAAGAAGAAGAGGAAGAAGGGTGAAAGAAAGAAACAGAACAGCTGGGGAAGCTGGAGCACAGACTGAGACAGATCAGCTGGACGGACATGCGATCGCGAAGTAATTGAGAAATGAAGAAAGAAACAAGGGAAGATGGGATGGGATACAGAGAAGACACCAGTCAACGAGGAAGAAACAAAAATTAGGACAACTGGGGAGCGCAACATGGGAGCATGAAGCAACTGCGACAATTGCAGCAGCTCAACTGGGCAAACGCTGCATTGCTGCATTGGAAAAGACAGGGGGATAGACCCACACTAGATCGAAGCAAATGCGTCTAGCCATGGGGCTGCTGGTGGTTTTGACACGTTTAGCCTATGGAGCACCGGTCCCGGATAGGCATGGAGGAATCAGGTGCATTCATTGAACCCTTGAGTCACTAGAATCATTCATGCCAATGCTGCAGTATGCTCAGATCGCACAAGAAGGCCAAGCACAGCAGCCAATGACACGGTCAGGTTCCGAATATCTGGAGCGTTGGGAACGGGCAGCTACGGCGTTGTAGGAAGCTTAGTGCTTTAGGCACTACCACACAACGGATAAGCGAGCCAACAAAAAGTTTAGGTGTGGTGCGCTCAACGTCCGGATTTCGAGAGCAAGGCAAGGCGTCGTTAGCCGTTAGCAGTTGGCGGAGTTTGTTTGAACCGGGTCAAGCAGCTCGTACGCCTCCAAATGGCATTTCAGCACACAGCCCTTTGCCTGAGAGGCGGAGTATGCAGTCAAAGAGATTATTTGCAGGACGCAGGTGCCGTAATTAGTTTGTTTGTTGTGATTTGACAAGACAACAGCTTCTGCTGCAAGAACGAGATGAAGAATGCCTTATTCGAGGGTGAGCTACTCGCAAGGACGGAGGGGTGTTCTGTCACACAAACTGTATTCTGATCTTTGACTTTGCAGGCTGGGCGAGGCATTCAGTGCGGATCTTAATCTACGCCATGTCTTCGGACATTGGAGGAACTGGCCCCCTTGTCTCTCACTTGTAACCTACATTGGCTGCGGTTTTTAGGGCCGGCAGGGGCACCGCCATGTGATTCACAAGCTTGGACGGATGGCCATCTCTGAGGTGAGGCTAGCCTGCCAGCACTTGCTTCTCGCATCCCCAAAATAGCAGGTGTCTGAGCTGTGGCAGATGGAGTTCTGACTCAGCATGAAAGCACTGAGCCAACTTTCACGAGGCTGCTCAAGAGGCTGAGGGCCTCGGCTCCCAGGCTGGGGGAGGCTTGACTTACGATGCTACGCTGTTACTCAATGTTGCCTTTGTGACCTCTGCCAGGCGTGGCGGGTGCGACTTGCAATGTCAAGGATTCCTGGGGAGCCGCTTGCGTCAGCATCCCAGCCTGGTTCATGCGTTGCTTGCGTCTCAGACATTGCTGACGGGTATTGATCAACATTACATGGCACCGACTGCAAATCAGGCTAGTGTTACACCATTGCAAGCGGCAGAAGTTGCGTAACATGCCGGCCAAAGATGTGCTCAGGCAGGTCACGTGTCATGGGAGCAAGAGAAGACAAAGCTTGCAAACATTGCACTTTATCGATGCCCATGATGCCTGACTCGAGCATGCAGTACACAGATACTCTGAAGGTAGGTTTGCAGACCAATAATTGTGAGATGTTTGCTGCAGGCTGTTGGCAGAACCCTGCCGCATCACCTCAGAACTGTTGACTCAGCTCGGGTTGGTGGCTCAGCACTGTGACTGGAGGCTCACCAAGCACCAAAGAACCGGATGTTTGTGTCAGGCTTGCCATGTATACGTGCTGTGCAAAGGCCAGCCCTTCAAGAACTATCTCGCGTCGCTTTTCACCGAGATGTGAATCCGTCCGCAACCTGGAACATGGACCTGGGAAGACTGCATTGAACGGAGCCCAATACTAGCATGGGAATAGCACGCTAGGCGAAACATTGTGGTCAAAGACGTTGACGTGAAAGGAGCACGTTCCAAGCGCTGCATGTGACTTGCTGGCAACATGCTCCCGAAGGACGTACGAGCTTCGGACTTGTCGATTTTGGAATGGCAGTCGAAGCTCGCCGCTGGCTGGGAACGTCAGAAAAGGCAAGGTTCATAGAACCCAGAATGCGCTTGAGTGGCATGGTGAGACACAGAGCTGGCGTCCGGCAGTCAAAGTATTGATCTCAACTGGCTGCAAGGACGGTGCTTGGACATGCGTCGAAGTAGGTGGCGACTGCCGTCAGCCTGCCTCAATTGTCTTGCTGTCACAGTGTGTGCGGCACGCTGCTTGAACCTGCTTTTTGTCGTGGTTGCAATCTGGGAAGCGGTTGCTGCAAGCTTGCCCTTTGCGAAGCACAGTTTTGTTGACGGGGTCCTTGAACTCATGCAATCTTGAGCAATCTTGAGCAACTTGTCCTTTCGTGCCCGAGGATACTGGCCCCTCTCCTCCTGGCTAATGTTCATGCGTGGCCCCAAGGAGAGGGCCAGTCAAATATCCTCACAGGTTCCATGCCCTAGGCATGAATTGTTCAGTCTTCAGCAAAGCTCAAACCATTGGAGCCACACTGTTAACTTGGACACTTTGTAGTCTTTGATGAGCATATGAGCCATGAAAGTACGAAGAGACGCTGTGTTCTTGTGGCGTTTCTCATTGCTTCACAAGACTCCAACAAACGCCATCGCATCATGGTGATCATACACTCCCTATGGTTCACAGAAGAATGGGCATCAACTGCTACAGGTTTCACACGGACGTGAGAAGGAGTTTGCTTGACAACTACCCTGTCCTTCAAGCCATGTGATAGGCTCTGGCAATTGAGCAGCCCTCAAAACCCCGTTGTGCTTGGATGGGGATTACAGCAAGGCATGTATGACTCCTTACAACCATCTTAGTCGAACCAACAGTCAATGGGTGTTAGGCGCTGCTCAATTGTTTGCAGTGAAAAGTTCATATCGTGCCTTAGTGGGGACTATGTGATTGACATTGGCCGCATGTGACGCAGGAGCTTGGCCCAGGCCCACGTTTGCTTCGAGAGATGTTGCCCTGATGGACCGGTGAAAGTGTTGGTTGAATCAGAGTATCGGATGTTGGCAGGCTCTCCTTTGAGGGCTGAATACCAGCCACGGCCTAAAGCCAAATTGATTTCAGTGCTGGCAGAGCATTCATACTGATTTGAAGCATGCTGAAACAGCCCAGGTCCGGTCTTGATTTGCACGCTCTGGGAATAAGCGCGCTGCAGGCAGCATGGCACACTTCAGTACTGTTGACAACCTGTAGGGCCGTGGCATGGGAGTGCACCTTACCCGCACCAGTCAGGTGCTGATGGAGATGTCGCCCCTACTTCCAGATGAACCGACTGGACCTCCAGAGCAGTGTAGAATATTGATGGCATTCCGCAGCTTGCAAGATTGCTGGCTCCGCTATTGGCACGACGTCTCGAAATTCTGGCAATCCCTTATGACTTGCTTTTCACAAGGAGGAAACTGGATAGCCTTGAAGGCATTGTGCATTGAAAGCGGCCTTGACAGATTACTGTCTGCGCGTTTGGAAGAGTTGCGGATGGCGCTCACAGACATCGGTTCAGTTGTTGGGCCAAAGATGGACGGAGACGAGCTGGATGTGTTGGTTCGGACTTTACTGACTCTGCTCAGCAATGCTTCGAGTCAGCCCAAGCCGCAACAGCCCAAACCTACATTGCAAATTGCTGCCCAGCAACAACCACAACAGCAGCCACAGCAGCAGCAGCCGCCGCAACACCAGCCACCGCCACAGCAGCAGGCTCGACCGCAGACACAGCAAGTACTCAATCAACAAACACAGACGGCAACTCAACAGAAGCCGCAGCAGCAGCAACAACAGCAGCAGCAACAGCAGCAACATCAGCTCCCTCAACATCAGCGGCCTCGGCTGCAGTCACAGCCCCAAGTACAAATGCATCAGATGCAGACCCATTCACAAGAGGCAAATCGGGAGCATGAAGAGTTTACGGAGAGTGACAGGCTTGACCGAGTGTCAAGAATGTCCTCTGTGGCAGAACAAGTCCGGATCTCGCAGCGAACCCCAAGGCATTCCGTAACTATACCTTCGAGCATTGCCAATGAGACAGGATGGTCAGGCACGTCTTCAAGTGCAATCCGGCAGCGTTCTGGCTCTCCTCTCATGCGACGTGGCCTTCCGTCTAACTTTGGAGATGCATTGCATGGAGCAAGTTCGAGGTTTGTGCAGGCTGGGCCTTTGGCAGCTCCAGTGAATGTGGCGGTTCATGATGCGTGGATGCGGACATCCTATCCAGCTGCCGCTCAGCCCAGGCAGTATGTGGGTGGTTCATGGAACTTTTCTCCACTCCCGCGCTCATTATAGATTTACATACCCTTGCTGGATAGCTCGTAAACAAGTCCAAGCGTGTACAGACTTGTTGCAGATGTCAGCGGATGTTGCCAGCGAGTGCAAGTTTGTTTGCGAACCTGGGCCACAGCGGAAGCCACTGGCTGATTGCAAAGTCTTAAACGTCTTAAACTTGCTGAGCAAATCTGAGCAAATCTGCGACTTGCAGCGGCTGACGGAGTGTTTAGTTGCCATTGCGGTTGTTGCCCGACTCACTTAACATGAGTCGAGCTCGGGCGCTGAGAAGGTGCAAAGTCACAGTCCAGATGATTCATGGAAGGTGCATGAAGAAATGAGCATCCACGGCTCAATCACATGGTTGATCAAATTATCGCAACTTCATCTCAAGAGCACCTTAGCCATTGGCTGGAGCAGCTGCTTGCCATGTCCGAAGATTCCAGAAATGTCCAGAGCATTGCACAAGTCAAACCAATTTTCTTAGCGCCTGTGTGTTTGCTTTTCTGCAGCGCCACAGTTCACAGCTGCACCAGAGCGCTGTTGCGGCCCATGTGAGCACAGAGGGCCATGTTGCTATCCCCGCAGGCATGAGTCCGCATGTGGCAATCCAAATTGTTGTTTGCTTTCTGCGAGGGCTCTACTCAAGGACCCCAATGATCCTCAATGTAATGAAAGGCACCCACCTTTGCAGACTGGTTGGGCATACTGATTTGATATGTCTAATCCAGGTTAGGCATATGCGTCGCTTGGCTCCCACATTGTCATTGATGCTTTTGAGTCGCAACATCCAGACCTGTCAGATTCGCAAACATCTTCGCGACAGTCCACGGACCTTGCTGCCACTGCGCTCGTGGCGAAATGTTGCGATGTTTCAAGTGCACTTCTTGTGTACAAGCGTAAGTTATACCGTGTGCACAAAAAGATGCGATGCTCCAGCTAGAGTTGCCAAATACACTTTCTGTACTATACTTCTATTGAGCAAGTGCAATGTTCTTGCTGGAGCTGCAAAAGCGTAGCGTACCTTTCGCGCTGCACCTGCCAAGGTGCAAAGTTTACTTACTTGCCTCACCGTGTAACGCGCGAGAAGTGGCCCCGCGAAAGTTCCGCGATGGAGCTCGCGAAGAATGTCACGACCGGGAACAAAGAAATTCGGATAAGCGCCATATGGCCGTAATTTATGTAATTAGTTTGTGTGTTTGTGTGTTTGTGTGTTTGCGTGTTTGCGTGTTTGCGTGTTTGCGTGTTTGCGTCTTTGCGTCTTTGTGTCTTTGCGTCTTTGTGTCTTCGTGTCTTTGAGTCTTTGAATCTTTGTGTCTTTGTGTCTTTGTGTCTTGGTGTCTTGGTGTCTTTGTGTCTTTGTGTGCTTGTGTGTTTCTGTGTTTGTGTGTTTACTGTGTTTGTGTGTTTACTGTGTTTTTGTGTTTACTGTGTTTGTGTGTTTACTGTGTTGTTTTTCTGTTTTTGTGTTTGTGCTTTTGTGTTTGTGTGTGTGTGTGTGTTTTTGTGTTTGTGTGTGTGTGCTTGTGTGCTTGTGTGCTTGTGTGCTTGTGTGTTTCTGTGTTTGTGTGTGTACTGTGTTTGTGTGTTTACTGTGTTTGTGTGTTTACTGTGTTTGTGTTTTGTGTATTTGTGTGTTTTTGCTTTTGTGTTTGTGCGTCTGTGTGTTTGTGTGTGCGTGTTTGTGTGTCTGTGTGTGTGTGTGCTTGTGTGCTTGTGTGTTTCTGTGTTTGTGTGTTTACTGTGTTTGTATGTTTACTGTGCTTGTGTGTTTACTGTGTTTTTGCTTTTGTGTTTGTGTGTCTGTGTGTTTGTGTGTGCATGTTTGTGTGCTTATGTGTGTGTGTTTTGTTGTCTTTGTTTTTATCAGCCTTTCCATCTTGCGGCTGCGCAGGTCAAAGTCAGCTATTCGGCGAGGAATTGCACCAGGCATTGAACTTGCAATCAGACTGGCTTCTGAATTTTGAAGTTGCAGGGCCTGTGTAAGAACCTGAATGAGCTGTCCATCCAAACTGTCAAGAACACGTTACGGTCATTCCCGCATTTCTTGCTTTGATCAAGCAAGGCAAGTCCTTGCGTGCCAATCCTGGGCTTGCAACCCCCATCCCATCCCACCCGCCCGCCCACCCACCCCCCCACCCACCCACCCACCCACCCACCCACCCACCCACCCACCCACCCACCCACCCACCCACCCACCCACCCACCCACCCACCCACCCACCCACCCACCCACCCACCCACCCACCCACCCACCCACCCACCCACCCACCCTCCCACCCACCCACCCACCCACCCACCCACCCACCCACCCACCCACCCACCCACCCACCCACCCACCCACCCACCCACCCACCCACCCACCCACACCCCACCCCACCCACCCATTCACCCACCCACCCACCCACCCACCCACCCACCCACCCACCCACCCACCCACCCACCCACCCACCCACCCACCCACCCACCCACCCACCCAGCCCCACACACACACACACACACACACTGCCCACGCAAGTGTGCACGCGTGCATGCGTGCGAACAAGCGCAGCGCCAAAAGCCAAACAGCAGCCGTGCAAAAATCGCAAACAAAATGCTCAGAAGCACGGTATGTGCGATGTTTTCCGCATGGGCCGCCTTTGCGGGAACTCCGCAAGTCCAGGGGGCCCTTTTCGAAGGTTGACACGACGGCGGGCGTGGGGATGCTGGAAAGCCCAGATTTGGGGATGCTGCGGGGATACTGGGCGATGCTGCTGCTCTCCGTGGGCCCTTCAGGTCGGGTTGCCTGGCTCGTCGAACTCGAAGACACACACAGCTGGAGTTCCAAGCCCGCTTGGAGATGTTTCCCTTGCGCGCGCAGGTGTTGCGCAAGCCGGAAAGATGAACTTGGTCCAGGACAGACCGCACGCCTTGCCATCGCTTGGGTTTTGGAGGGTCGGTCGAGCCTGGGTGTGTGATTGAAGTCTGCCAGTTGCAGAGTCGTGGAATGCCTGACCGACAGAGTGTTGAAAGTGTGACGCTTGTTGCGGAAGTTGTAGGTGTACTGTCTCAGAACCGTCGATGGTTCCTGAGCGTTGGGCTGGGAGTGCTTCGGCCTGATCCTTGGACTGGTGAAGTGAAAGCTTGTCTGGTAAACTTGTTGGCCGGACATGTCACAATGCCGGTTGATTGCTAACAGTGTTATGTGTGACAGATCCTAAGACTGACTGCGCGAATATGCCTGTTTGCTGCATTCGTGAACACCAGGGCCCTCTCACTGCAAGGTTCTCAAGCAGCAGGGCTTCGGCCAGAAGACCGACGGCGAGTCAGGCGCGCAGCTCACTTCTTCTTCGCAAGAAACGCGCTAACTTGGTCAGGTGATTCCGCTGCGTTGGGAGGCAGGTGGTTTCTACCTTCAGTTTTGCCTTGATGGCCGTAGCTTGGCTGATCACAGCGGGTTTTCGCGCAGATTCAAGGGCAGGGTGGGTGGGAGGAAGCAAATCACACGCACACACACACACACACACACACTCTGGCGTGCACGCGACTCCCGTCTTTTATGGACTAGGAGGGCCGGGCCCACACGCACAAGCACGCAAAACAAACACGCACAAACACACACACACAAACAAACAAACACACACACAAACAAACACACAAAGAAACGCACACAAGCACACAGGCCCACAGGCAAACAGGCGCACAGGCACACAGACACGACACATACAAGTAGAAACACACACACACACACACACAACCACACATCCGCGCCCGCCCGCCTGCCCACCTCACCCACCCACGCACGCACGCACACACGCACGCACGAGCACACACAAGCACATCAGTACCTTACTCAGCTTGGGTCGGCCCGCTTGCAAGGTCTCACAGAAGACAAGAAACCGAAAAGGAGCGCCTTTCGTGGCACTTGCACTTTGGGCCGAGTGACTGGCGTTTCCCATGACGCCCAGGATATATGCCGTGGCAGATACTGGGTCCCCCTTTCTGCTGGTTGCCAAGTGCTTGCGAGACGACTGTCCAGCATACTGTGCAGAGGCCGGATGCTGGGACTTAATTCTTGCGTGAGTTGATCCCTTGACAAC